AAAATATGATTGGTAGCCAATAATAATGACATATTGCGCATTCATACTAATAGTTGATACCTAAAAAGGTAGATACTGATAAGTTTACCTAAAATATACTTGTTTTCATACACACTATTCTTATTATTATTACTTTAAAGTTTATATAATACATTGGATTTTTATTTTCATTATTAAATTTGTATCGCATTTTGCATCATACATCGTTTTAAACATTTGTTTGCACAAATCGAAATCTAACCCTACTTATGTCGATTAAAAAAGCAATAACTTATAATATATTTAAAAGACAAAACGAAATTTAAATGGCATCGAATCTTATCGGGTTTGGGTCGCTTTGTAATCGAAACACTATCTTCTTCACTTTTAACGCGATAGAGCGAGTGCATATAGAGGGTTTGCTGCAGAACTTTTCTCTTAACTTTTTTTAATATTTAAAAATGATGAAAGTAGCACCGTCTGTGGACTGTGTCGTATACGTAGAGTTCCGAATGTACATGTTGCCCCAATTGAAAACGAAGCTTAAGACAAACAGACAACTTTAAAAACCGATTAGATTATGTTAGGTGGCTCAACTAATTTTGAAAATAAAAACATGTAATTGTATATTAATAATAATTACCCATATCGTAGTTATCGTAGTGTTTTTAATCGCTATCAATTATGGTAATTCGTTTGAATTTACCAAAGTCTAACGTGAGTTACGTTCGTATTCGTAATTCATTTGCCAACTGAAAATCTACCAGACTAAGTCTAGATAATTAAAAACTATTTGAAAATAATTACAACAAATAAATAACTAGCAAATTAAAAATTGAAACTGCGCATATGCATAAAATGTTCCAGCAACCAAACACAAATCCAATTTAACTGAATCAACTAAAAAACTAAATGATACGAAATCTAAAATTGATAATTTTGAGGAAACAAACATATCTAAAAAACAAATGGAAATAAAACTAAAACGTCAAAAGTGGTTAGAAGGCAGGCCCTAACGAAGGTAAAGTATAAAATAATAATCAATAAACCAAGAACTTTTGCTATTGTAATTGTTGTTATGCAGAAAAATAAGTATAGAAAAAATGAAATTGATAGCGGCAAAGAGAGCTTCTGATAAGGCAGTAGTCATACCTAAAATTAAAACGAAAAAAATGAGTAAAAGTACATCTAAGCGGCGCAATGTAGTAGACATGATGTCACATGTCATACGATTTTTTAATGTCTGATAAGGTATATTATATAGTTTTTTATTTTGCGATCATGATGATAATAAATTAATAAATTTTGTTTTTAATATAAAAACATAAATCATGTTATAATTATATTCTTTTAAAATGCCTAAAAATGTAGGCTAAAGTATTGTTTTTAGTAGCTAGTGAAATGTCAAAAATAATCTTCTGATGCAATTTTAACTAACTATAAAATTATCAACATGTTTTGTATTAGAACATTTAAATAATATTAGTGCATTATTTCAAAATTCTCAAAATTTCAAAGTTGCATAATATGCTATTTGATTATGATAGAAAAAATGTTATGTTGTAATTGTAATGTATTTTACTACCTAAAAATAGTTTGTTCAATAGCTTGTAAACTGTCAACAATAATCTTTTTATACAATTTTAATCAACTATGTATTGAGTTGTTCTCATGTTTATTTTATCATAATTTATATTACTATGTATATCAATGATATACATTTGTTCGTTCAAAATTACGTGAATGTTATGGAATAAATCGCAGAATGCAAAATTCAATGCAATTATATATTTCTAGTGTAAAAAGAAATATTAAAGATGTTTTGGCCAAAGACAGTGGGTTTGAATTCTGCGATGTATGTTTAACAATAATAATTAGTTTTCCAATCCGCTTTAATAGCAGAAAAAAATTCATTATTTACAGATAAATGTAATCAAAGATTCTTCTGTTAAAGCGTTTAACAGAACAGACGTTGTTTATTTAACTCACGACAGTAATAATGTTATAAGTACTTTGGACGAAGATAAAATTTACGTAATAGGAGGCCTGGTGGATCATAAAACGCGAAAAGTAAGTTTAATTTCGATAATTTTCCACACAGTTCCGTACATTACTTGTTGTATGCTCAGCGTGCTGGTCTGAAACGTGTCAGGTCTCTCGGTGTCGCTCGTCTACCTACTAAAATAATTGATATGAAAACATGGACGACTTTAACTATGTATCATGGTAAGTTCGTGCTTAAAAATAAAATAATAACCACTTTAATAACACTTATTACTTTTTTTAGTTTATGAATTGTTATCAAAAGTGGTTGCTGATATGCATTTTTAAGTACATTACCAAAACGTAATTTAATTATACAAATAATCAAGACCTAAGTCAACACACAGATGTAAGCGAATTTGTGAAGACAATTCTACAAGCTAAATGTTTTTTATATTTAAAATTAAATGCTCGAGAAGTCGTTAACAATAATGTAATATTTATGTACAAAAAATAGTACAAGCTTATTGAAATATTAAATAGCATTTTTCAGTACCTGATTGATAATTTTCGTTATTTGTTAACCTATATAAACACTCGAATGTCTATACAAAAAAATGTACGCAACCATGTTTCTTATTGAAAAATGTGTAGATTATCTTATCCCAGTATTTTATACGCTGCCATATTATTTACAGTGTATTATCATATAATATGATCGTGTACTGAAGTGTATTAATAAAGCTTTAAAGTCTGAAATGCAATTGTTTTGGCTTTGGAGTCGGTGCGATAAAGCTGATTAGAAAGTGATCTGTGATTATAAATTGATTAGAATTAAATTCGCTAGTACGTCCCATAGTAAAATTTGTAAGAAAATAAATTTTAAGAAATGCATTCGACGAATCCTTTATCGGAATAACATTACTATACAAACCTGGTCTCAACTCTAGCCGTTTGCTCTTCGAACACGACACGGACCCCAATTTGAACACGGTCTTTATTATAAACATGACTTCCAAAAAACAAGTTTTAAAATTCCACCGCGATGATGATACTTATATAGGTAGTAAATAACAAATATCTTCGGGGGATACTTAGATGTACCTACACTATGTAACGTGCAACATTCAAGTTTTGTTTCGACGGATGAGTTGTACCCCGTCGGCTTTTATACCCTCTAATTAATATAATTTTGTCCGATAGAAGGAGACCATTAAATCCTTTCTTACAGAATGACATGTTTATTTCTTTGACCATTATTAAAAAAAAAAAAAAACTCAATCGTGTTCTGCGTGTATTGATTTACATTAACGGATTTAAAAATAATTTACATAATGCGTTTACACGTACCCACTACCCAACTATATTATAAGTGATCTCACGCAATCGTGTCTTTCTGTAAACAATTATTTTCTAATGAACAGCGAAATCAATGCTAAGATTAGGATTATTCATTACACAAGATATTTTTAATACCTCAAAGGTATGGAGTAAGGCAACCTTAAATTTATTTTTAACAACTGGTTTAATTGTGTATAAAACTACCAAGATTTTAATTATAATTTTTATTGCCCACCCAATTATAAGATTATCTTCAAATTGGGGAGGGGATAGGGATGGACTGTTGAGCACATGTTTTACCAGTCATGTAACTTTAAAACCTACATTTATTTTTTAACATATTATATCAATTCATTTGATTGTAAACATAAGTTCATTAAGTATGCAAATACGTTTTGTATATTATCTTGAATAGATCATTAAAATTTTTAACATATAAATAAAGGTTAAATATTTTTTTAAAAAAACTTTAGACTACTTAGTATATATACATAATATTTATTGTTACCGTGGAAAATGTAAATTTTAGAATAGGTACCCTTAATACAGTAACAACTAAATGCTTTACATTTTCACGTTTATAGAAACTACTATGTAATTATAGGCTAAATTTGATAATGCGTATTCGTTACTTTGGAATGGAGACCATTTGTGGTGAAAAAATACCTTAAAAGTATTTCAAACCGGACGGGTTATCATTCACCAACCATGAATTAGAACAGGGCATTAGTCATCAAGGCGAACATGCATATACTTGCACTTGTATGTATACAAATTGCATACATATTGGGCCGTATTTGTATATTTTACAAATTTTTTATCATGACAAAATAATAAGTATTTATGTAGATCAATATATTTTTGAGGCTATGTTTTAGTTTTAACTTTTTAAACAATCAAAAAAAAATTATAATGTCTCGTCATTTTTTTTTGTGTTAAAAATGTAATTCAAATTGTATTAAGAAAGTACAAATACATTTTTATATGGCAACTTTCTTAATTGCTTTGTCTTAATTCTCTAATATATTATTTATCACTACGAAATGTAGTTAATTTACTTTAAATATTATTTTAGAATTTAATAGTTACGCATAACTTCTGATTATTACGTAAAAAATTCATGTTGTGAATCATTATTAATTGTAAACTTTAAACTATGTTGTGTTAAATCTAATTAAACAAATCACAAATGTTTAAATAAAACTTAATATAGAATAAATTAATTTAAATGCATCACTTCATTTTTTACATTATATCTCATTTTTTTTTTAAATAACATATTAAAGTACTACCCATATTTCCAAACAAGTAGTTAACAGTTTACACAAATATCCAAAAAATAATAAAATATATAAAAGAGTCGAATTCGTAATGAAATCAACGACCTAGAACAACAATAACTAAACAACATGAGTAAAATATTTATTTAGTGAAAAATTATTTCACTATAAATTCTGCATTATTATTAAATAATTTCTGCATTTATTTTTAAAAGCAGAAAAATTAATTTTAGCAATTTATAATAAAATAATTATTAAAATTTCTTTATCTTAAAGATTTACAAATGAAAATACATGGATACAAAATGTAAATATTATAATGAAGTATTATCCTAAAGGTGAAATATATAAAACTGGTTTATAAATGTTGGTATTTTTCTGATATTGTGTTTCCAAACCAAATAAATTAAAGAATAGAATAATTTTACAAAAACGATATTTAATATTTTGAATCAAAATTTTTGTAATATTGTTTGTACATAAATAACAAATTATTGTCAACAACGTATCAAGATTTAATTTATAAAAATAAAACATTTTTAGTTTTTAGAATTGTCTTCTACAACAATGTCAGAGTTAATTATATCTGTATGTTCATTTTGTTCTTCATCGTTTTTTATAATATGATTTTCTTCATCTGACGAACTTTCATGTTTTGCTGAAAATATTTTACGTTTTGGTAATGTACTTAAAAGGGCTTCTTTCCAAGAATTGCCAGAAACTACCTTTGACAACACTTCATAAACTAAAAAAATTATTACGTGTTATTCAAGTGATTATTATTTAAATTTTAGGCACAAACTTACCATGATTAATAGTTAATATTTTCCTTGTTTTCATATCAATATTTTCAGTAATAGGTAGTCGAGCGTGAGCAACACCTAGAGATTCTGCGACTTTTAGACTAGCACCCTAAGTATACAAAGAGTTATGTTCTTAACTATGTGTGTGAAATTATCTAAATTAAACTTACTTTACACGAATTATGGTCAACCAGGCCTCCTATTATGTAAATTTTGTTTTCATCCATAGTATCTATGATATTTTTACTATCGCTAGTTAAATAAACAATATCTTCTTTGTTGAACGCTTTGTCAAAAGAATCCGTGATGTAATTTATCTGTAAACAATTTTTTTTTCCACTATAAAATTGGTTTTAATAAATTAAATATTATAATTGAACATACATCCCAGAATTCAAACCCATTATGTTTGGCCATAGTTTCTTTAATTTTTCCTTCGAAACTACAAAAATATAATTGCATTGGATTCTCCATTCTGCGATTTATTCCATAACATCTAAGTAATTGATTTGAACACTTGCATAAGTCCTAGATAAAAACAAATGTACATAATTTATATAGAAATATAAATTATGATATAATAATCATGAAAACAATTTAATACATAGTTGGTTAAAATTGTATAAAATATTATTGTTGATAGTTTACAGGCTATTAAAACAATGCACTCTAGATTTTTAGGCAGTTAAAAACATTACAATTACTACATAATTTTTTTTTTCTATCATAATCAAATATCATATTTTGCAAATTTTAAGAGTTTCAAAATAATGTACTGATATATTTACATATTATATCGATTTATTAAGAAATAAATTCAGGAACTATATTTCTTGCTAGTAATGCATACTAATTAATATACATAAAAGTGTATAATATATAATACATTTGTGAACTATTAAGAATATAATAAAGAATAGTAATAGTAAAGTAATGGGAAATATTGCACTATTCGAATAATTATTTTGATTATTTATGGCTTTGGATTTTAATTTTCGATATTCTAATAGATACCATTAAGTATTCAAATCCTTTAAATTGCACAAATAAGTAAAATTAACTATTATTAATTTTAAAACTATTAGAGCCCAAATATTAATACTAATTAACAACTTATCAATAACCTTTTCATTTTTATTACACATAAAAAAAAACTATAATTCATACCTTTTCAGACATTAAATGATCGTATGACATGTCTAAGACAACACGCTGCTTACATGTACTTTCACTCATTTTTTTTGTTTTTACTTTAGGTATTTCGTTACCAGATGCTTTCATTTCGGCTTTCCATTTTCTTTTTTCTTTCTTTTTTTCTTTATTGAATTTTCTGTAAAACAAAAATTATAATAACATAAGTGTATACACAATATAAGTGTATATACAATATGCACTTATATTTTATACTTTACCTTCGTAATGGCTTGTTTTCTAACCATTTTTGCTGTTTTAGAATTTTTTTCATTTGTCTTTTGGACATTGGTGTTTCAACGCCATTATCATTTTTAAATTTCTTACAATCTTCTTCATTTATATCATTTAGCAGTCTTTTAGTTGATTCATTTGAATTCGATCCTTGTTTTTGGAATGAAATATCTGATGTATCTGCAGGTTTAGTTGAAATATATTCGAGTTTTGTGGATGAAATATCTGATGTATATGCAGTTTCAGTTTCTGTAGTCATTTTAAATTCTTCATTTATTTAGAATAAACTGGCTAGATCTTCAATTGTCAAACGAAGTACGATAATACGAAATCGGAAATACGCACGTACCGCACGAGTTGGACTTTTTGTTATCAAGATTTAAACGAACAACCATAATTGATAACGATAAAAAAGAGAACGATATCAGCTGCTGTTGTTGTTAAGCCGGGTAAAATTGTGCGGTAACCATAGATATATATAATAAACTAGATTGCTAACTGTACATGCCACCAATAGAGAAGATTGAAGCAGCCACTTTCCGCCATCTTGGTAGGAATTAGAACCTTATCACTCGAGAATAATATATATTTATAACAATTACATGTATATATAATATTGATATAATAATATATACAGATATATATTATATACATTGATAACACACATAAATCCCACCAGAATGGCGGACCGTCGGCTTCAATTCTTATCGCTAGTTGGCAATCTAGTTTATTATATATATCTGTGGCGGTAACTGGCTATGTAATTGTTATCTTTATTTTACCAAATTATTGTAACCACTTAACATCAGCTGACCGCATCAATGATGAGAATATTCGATATCGGTCGATGGTTGTCTACAGCCTAAATGCCCTGATGCCAAATACACATTTGACATTACACTATGCGTGATACCTAGTTAAGTTAGAACGTCTGTTAGCGACGTTCATATGCCGGTTAAAATTACTGTATTGTGAATGTATATTACCTATTCATAATTTTTTAATTTTCATTAACAAAAGGTTAAATTAAACACGGCTTGTTTAAACAACTACCTGAGGTACCGTTCATATCATAGACTGGATATATATGAATGAGTTTTAGTGTTAATCTATTGACGAAGATAGTTCGCCGATTATCATATAATTCAATGGCGGATTATAACGTTGCACGTAAGTTGTGATATTTTTCTACAATATTTAAATAATATGTAGTTTAAATTGTAATGTAGTTAATATATTTATGTTATATATTTGCTTAGTTTTTTTTATTACAAAATATAATTTGACGTTCCTAAAGTGCATGTAACATTATCAGTATTGTTGGCAACGGTCATGTTTGCAAAATATATTTCATCGTTTTTCTTTGTCAGGAACCTAAGCATCAAATCACAATTAAAGATGACAACGTCTACTAGCATCGATACATTATCTGAACAAGGTCGCCAGGAATTTTTCAATTCATTTGACAATGTTCTTACTGACTGTGATGGTGTCATATGGATGTTAAACAATGTCATTTCTGGTGCACCAGAGGTCATGAATGGTTTCAAAGCACAAGGCAAAAAGGTTTTCTTTGTCACAAACAATAGTACCAAAACACAAACCCAAATTTTAGAAAAGTTCAAGACGCTTGGTTTCAAGGCTTGCAGTAAAGATGTAATCACCACTAGTTTTTTGGCTGCTAAATATTTGAAAGCTAATATGGACCCTTCTAAACGAGTCTATGTTGTTGGATCACCAGCTATCGCTAGTGAACTCGACGATTTAGGTATTAAACATTTTGGTGTAGGCCCTGATTATTTACAATCTTCAGTGCCGACATTTGTTGAGAATGTAAAGCTTGAAGATGATGTGAATGCTGTGCTAGTTGGATTTGATGAACACTTTAGTTATCCAAAAATTTTTAAGGCCGCATCATATTTGAAAGATCCAAATTGTCTGTTTGTGGCAACTAATACAGATGAAAGTTTTCCAGTCAATGGTACACGTTTTATTATGCCTGGTACAGGTAGTTTAGTATGTTCAGTAAAAACTTGTGCCGGTCGTGAACCGTTCATAGTAGGAAAACCGTTTAGTTACATTCGCCAAGTGCTAATGGAAACCAGTAATATTGATCCTTCAAGAACATTGATGATCGGTGACCGTTGCAACACTGATATCTTACTAGGTAAACGCAGTGGTTTTAAAACACTTTTGGTTTTAACTGGTGTAAATACTTACAACGACATAGAAAATTATAGAAAATCTGATGATCCTGAGTTACAAGAATTGGTACCTGATTATTATGCTGAAAGTATAGCTAGTCTGAAAAACATATTTCCTGTGTCATTGTGATCAGCATTACATGTTAATATTTTAAACATTTTGTCATAGGTATTACTTTTTTTTATGGTCTATTAATGTTCACAAGCTATTTACTTCTATTTTTTTCACTAACTATTAAACTAAATAAAAAATTGTAACCAACAGAATTTTAGGCTTCTTTATTATTATTTTTTTTTAATACATTTTAACGTCAACTATTATAGTGTTATGTTGATATTTGCAATATACTTTATGTTGAATATGTGTTTAATAATGTTTTCTTTTTTAATTAAATGGAATTATATGGTTATATCAAAATAAAATATGTCAGAACGTCTTGTTTATTTTTATAAAAATAAAAAAAAATACAAACTATCATATTATATCCTTACGCTGAATAGTTTCCTAATGAACAAAGTTGACAATTTGTGGATATCCTGGATAGAGTATAGATTGTATAAAATGGTAATATTTGGATTCAGTTAACTTTAAAGTTTAAGTACATATTAAATCTTAAATCTACTTGTTTACTTAATTTTTATATCTTAACTCTAGTTTACAAAACCATAGACTCTGACATGTAATGACGATTATATTTTATCACTTTTTGAAATGTACGAAAAAAGTTTGTTACTAGTTAGTATAATTTCATGTTTCGCCATGCGTTCATCAGTAAGATAACATGGTTAAGGTACATAGACCAACCTTTTTTTATCGCATTTGAAGAATATTATTTTTTATGTTATAATTACATAAATTACATTAAGTGTGTATTTCAAGCCTTAAACTACTTATTGGAATATTGTATCAAAATGTATGGATCTGGTTGTTCGCTTGCTTTATAGTCTAGAATCTAGATCATTGTTATTAATAAATACTTTATAGAAATAAATGTTTTTTCGAAAAGTTAATGTTTAATTAGGTGGCCTTCTCAGAGAAAAGACTAGAGTTAAAAGGTTTATAATTTTAAAAGCTTTTCTATGATATAGTCTATGTTTCAATTTATGACTATAATAATATTATTCTATACGATTTTAGTATTTTAGAAGATATAATCGAAGAAGCATTGAAGAAACTAAAAAATCATTTGAAGAATTATTTTAGTTTAATCATTGATTGTAAATATTAATATTAACAATCAATGGTATAATATTCATATAATATAAATTATTTATTAAAATCTAGGGTAATTTCTAAATAATTTTTTGAGATAAAATGGGTACTACTTTGCAAAATACTAAAACTCATCAGACGAAGACTTTAAATTGGTTTTACTTTTTAGGTACACAATAATTTATGTTATTCGTTTTTTATAGGTATAATATTAATACCAAGTACATTTGAAATGAATTAGTTTTCAATTTAAAACCCTCCCAACCTAATTAATATACGAGAGATATTAAATGTTATTTAGATTTTTAAATTAAACTCCGATTGAGTTTTTTTTTTGGTATAGTGTCTAAATAATAATCATAAGTTAAAGCTTGTTAAAATAGGTACGGAGAATATACTAATTACTATATTAGTGGTAAGTACCAGGTCAGTTTATACATTTGATATATCTTTAGATTTTAGGCAATTGCTAAACATGTACCCACTACTAGAATATAAATGATTTATTTTTCCACCTAGACAATAACTGTTCAATTTATCATTTAGATACTCTTTGTAGTGTGTTGCTCTTGATTACATATTTCTTGATAATTTTCACCTTTAGTTTTTTGGTATCTACAGACACTTTCTTTTTTGAAAAAAAAAAATAAGTAGGTATACTTTAGTTGCCATAGTCTTAATAATTTACTTGTTTAAACAATTGTATTTTGCTTTGCAACTGAAGTTTATCATTTTCATAACACAGTGTAGCCATTTTTAATTTAAAATGCTAACTAATGAATTTGTAATAATTTTATTTATTTTGGAATATCTTACTATCAACTTTATATATTAACACGTTTACTTATAATCTTATTTTTAAGTTAGATCCAATACAATTTTGCAGTGACATTCATGATACTCTAATGCCCTTCATATATTTTATGCAGGTTATGTGTTTCGACCTTGTTTTGCCCGAAAGAATGCAGACTGGTTTATTAATCATCATAAATATTTCAACTGAAATTATATTAATATAAATGTATTTATTTCTTAACAAATAAAAAATAATTAATTATAAAAATTACAATATTTTGTAAACAGTAATCAGTAAGTAAAAGTATACAGTTTACGTTTTACTGAATAAATATTATCTGATGAACATTTTGTTTAATACATGTATGGACTTATATCGGGGAGTAGGTCCTGGGTTCGGACCTAGTTCAATCGTGGAATTGGCAGAAGTGGTGGTTTAGTCGTCTTAAGTTAGATGAACTAAACATCATTTTTATTATGCCTTATTCAACCAAATTTTTGGATTCCACTTAAATTAAATTAATATTGACATGGTTTACACCTATACTCTTAAATTAGGTTTGCCAACGTTTCGGATGCCTTCATTTACCATCTTCAGGGCTGTGTTGCGTGCTGGTTATGTGCTGTTGTTTCCGCTGCTGCCTGTAGACTGACCACGCGAAAGATGTAGGCTACAGAAGAAAATAAAAATTTACAGTTGGTACAGGCAGCAGCGGAACGAGTAACAGGCAACCAGCACACTATACAGTCTTAAAGATGGATTATAAAAGTCTTCCGAAAAGTTGGCAAAGCAGGCGATGCTGTGAACCATGAAAATGTTTAAAAAAAATCTATAACAAGCTATAACCAATTTCATATTTATAATATTTAAATAATTATGAACTTATTATAATAGTTTTCTCCTAAATTCCTAATTAAGTATTTGAATTAATTATCACTGCTTGGAAACTGCTGATTTAATATTATTCATATTAAGCATGTAACAGATTGTATCTTAACAGTTTAGTATTGACTAACTACAAGTTCAATTAAAATTACAAATATAATTTAATATTTAAATAAACTATTTATTTGTTTGCGAATTCTAGTTCCTAAATTTTGTTAAGTATTATCACGCCACCTAATTAAACTTTAACAATTCCGTTAAAAAATAAATGGTGATTAAGCATCAACAACGTTTTATCCCATCCGACTATACGACTTGAGGTATAGAATGTCAATAATTTTAAGAATACTAATTTTAGAACTCAGAGATGCTAACTACACCTGCAAGCTCTTATCTACCCTTATTGCGCCCATGAACGAAGTATAGAAAGTGTGATTTTAATATTGGCGTGACATACTCAATAAGATTATATGCAATAAATGTAATTCAAAAGTTACATATTCATTTATTTTTATTTTTAGAAAAACGGATCGAGTATCTAGGAAAAAATCAAGTGTTGCACGAGCATGAATTGGAATCGCATGACCCTTTAAAACTATTTAAAGTATGGTTCCAAAAAGCTGATTCAAACAAAATGATTAGAGAGCCGAATGCAGCTTGCTTAGCCACGGCCACAAAGTAATAACTCGGGTCTCAGTGTAAACCAAGGGTCTGGATATTGTTCTTAAAAAGTTCCTATCCGATATTTGTTCCCGATAAAATAAGTTTATTTGTTCCGGAACAAATAAAAGAGTAAAATATTTTTACTCCAGAACATATACTGCGGAACAAATGATTAAGTTCCGGAAGAAATTCTGGATCATTATCAGGACCCTTGGTGTAAGCACGTTGTTTTTTTCCCTAATTATAATTTTTATAAGTAATTTTGCCACCTAAAACTTCACTTTTCTCGTTTCTTACATGTTGAAATCTTTTGCTTCATCCAACCACATTTATTTTACTCGTCATATCTTCAATTCCTGCATAGCTAAATAGGTACTACTGCATTATATTGGCAAGTTATTTACCTATTATTATTGTAATAATTTTAGAGATGGCGTTCCGTCTGCGAGGTTTGTTTTGCTTAAATATTTTGATAGTTCTGGTTTCACGTTTTTCACAAATTCCGATAGCCGTAAAGGCAGAGAACTGGTAAATATTTCAGTTAGAATGCCTTTTACATTATTTTAAGTATAATTTACTGACCATTGCAGGAGGAAAACCCCAGGGCTGCAATGACGTTTTACTGGGATCAAATGGACCGATCGGTAAATTTACAACTGTTCCTTAAGGGGGGAGTATGGTTAATTCGTGCAAAAAACGGCAAATTTTTGTGAATTTTTTTTGACGACACAGTTAAAATCTGTTTATTAAAACTAATGGTACATTAAAGTATAACATTCGAAGAATATTGTGTAATATTTTCATGTAGAAATATTAAAAAATACGGCAATGGCGGCAATTATTCGGAAGCGTCTCGGAAAAAAGTAGAATTGCGGTGTCCCTCATAACTCGATGCTGGATCATCCGAAATTAAAAAAATCAAATTCTTTCGTTAGATAATTGCTTTCCCCAGGTAACGCTGGGAGGGTTTTTTGAAATTTCAATTTTTCACTTTTTGGGAACACTTTGAAGGGAAAAACGCGATTTTTGCGAAAAAAATCGGCTAATTTGTTATTGTAAAATAAAAAATATTAACAAATTTGAAAAAAAACTCTCCAGCATTACCTCGTTAGTTCTGTACTGAAATAGTGTTCAAAATTTCAAAAGGATCGGTGTAGTAGTTTTGAAGTTATGGTGGTCACCGAATTTGAAAACGTGAGTTGTGGGAAAAACGCTTTAAAGTTAACGATAGAGCGCTCGGGCCGGGCAGCTATAAAATTCCGACAACTCATAACGTCGTCAATTTTGTTCCGATCGACTTGAAATTTTGACACAATATTCTTAAGATATTATGCATTCAGTTAACAAAAAAAAATTTAATACCCTACCCCCCCCCCCTTAAGTAAATAAAAACCGTTTCGCTATAAATAACAGTAACGTTATAGGTACGAATTGAAGGCCGTGTAGAGAAAATGCAGCCTGGTGATTCGAGCGTATATTTTAGTTCGAGACCTAGAGCCAGTCAGATAGGAGCACATGTCAGCCGCCAAAGTACAGTGATCGCCAGCAGGGAATATTTGGAAAAATTAACCGAACAAATTGAAGCCAAATACAAAGACAAGGAGGTTCCCAAACCTGATTATTGGTAAAAACCGCAAAACCTAAATTACATAATAATATTGCCTTATTTTTTGCTAGACACGTGTAAACATCTTTCCGGATACACAAAAGATTTTTATTACCACTATTATTTTATTTGCTAAATATTTACTCTTTATGTTCGAATTAGTATAACAAAGTGTATTAAAACTGCTTAGCGAGGATGCGTTTTTATTTATAATTTCTGGTACTAATTGTTGTGTTTTCTGTCACTAGGAACGGTTACAAGATAATCCCGCATAGTATAGAATTTTGGCAAGGGCAGTCGGATAGACTTCATGACCGTATACAATTTATACGTTCTGAAGACGTTGGAGAACATAACAAAGACGTTTGTCAAAAGGGAGAGAACGGCTGGGTGTTTTACCGGTTGTCTCCTTAACAAGATGAACTCCTGTTATATAAATATTCCATAATCGCTTGTCTTCCGACTTCCGTAAAATGTAGTATAGATATTATGTTATGAAGTTAATACTATTAATTTTAGTGATTAGTATAAAACAACTTTATAAAATCAGTGTATATTCATTATTCAACCATACCGTTTAATGTTCTGTAAACTATTAAAAACAAACTATTGTGTACACATAAGACTGTTAGAATTATTATAAGCTGTATTATAAAAGCTTAACGGCCTTACTAAAGATAAATGAATACTATTTAATAGTAGCTGATCTTACTAACACATTTTTTTCATGAATAAAAACGATACTATATTTATATATTTAGCTTGGATACGGATCCGAGAAGACTTGAATTGAAATGAACATTATTAATAATAAGGTTTTATCGATATTTGCATTTTTATCTTCTACAGATTCGCATCCAAGCGTTTATTTAGTCACCTTCAGTTCAGTTAAAATAATTCCTGTTGGCCTGTAATCTCTCTCGTTCAAAATACATATTATGTGTGTAGGTGTTCTATGTATAATCAACTATAATACCTATGAAATTACTAATTAAGATAAGTGAATTTTTTTTATAATATTTCATTATTAGATAATAAAATATAATTAGTAATAATACTTGTATTTTCTACCTATGGTTCTAAATAAGCACTACAATAAATTATTTAGTATACAGCCGATAATGAATGATAAACGCTAAAATATTTAGTTAGGTGTAATTTAGTGGGCTTATGTTTGATTAAAATGTTTTACAACTGTCTTATAAATAGTTTAAATGCTATGGAGGCTAATCAGTCAGAGACAATTTTAGTTAAAAAAAAAACGTCATTAATTATAATGAAGTACTTTATGAAGTGTTTTTATTAAAAATTGCACAATCGATTGCATTTAACTGACTAACAGTAGTTTATAATAATGAAGCATTTTATACTGCTTAACGTCACTGTAAAACATGATCAAGTATTTAAAATAAAATACCAATTTTATTTTATTTGATTGACCACATCGATTATACTAGTTATCTTATATTTTCACTAAGGAATTTGTAATATAATTATTAACTATATCATGTACAACAAGGTAAGAATCAGTTAAAAACTACTATAATAACCATTTTTAAATTTTGATTTTGTCTAAAGATTAAACATAATCGTAACAATTGTATAGCATAACATTTGTATGTTTGATAATTGGTCTATACTAATGTATTAATATATTTTGTAATCGCTAAAAAGGAAATAAGAAAACATTTAATAATTGCAATTACTTTGTCTTTATTTGCTGTGTATAAAGGTATTATCTGTGATTTAAAAACTGAGATTTTCTTTATTATCGTTGTTACTGAATAATTAATGTGAGATAAGAACGTTGTTAATGTTTGGTTTTTTATTTTGATAACGGAAAAATATAACTGCGTTATTATCCAAAATATTTAGTACAATATATTCTATTCAAATTTATTTGTCTTATTTCACTAAAGATCGTTAAGGGACTGGCTTCGTTTGTAATAAATTAAAATTTCGTGAACTGGACAATATTATATGAATGCATTTCGTTTATAATTGAAATTTATAAACGTTATTAAATGAACCTTTTTGTTTTTCATTAGGTTTAGGTTTTTTTTATTACGGTTTTTATTATAGCTTAATTTTGTTTGCCTTCTTTGTTTTCAGTTTTTACACGATTTTGTGGTATTTCAGTTTTTTTTAAATGTTCTTAATCCCTGACTAATTATTATTAAGTAAAAAAAAGTTGCTTAAATATACTTTCTAAAAACAATATTAAAAATATGTACAAATAAAAATAAAACATATTATTATAAATGTGGCTACATGCGGTTATACTATATAGTAACCTAATTATTTTTTTAATGTATATTTTTTTTATTAAGTGGGTGGTTCGCACTAATTTATTTAAGTTAGGATTTTTTAGACTAAGATATGATAATTTCTTTAGGTGTATTATTTTACATAAGTAATAATTTAAATAAATTAAGTATAATTAAATTGTTTTTTTTAAATAATATTTGAAAAAAACGAATGCCTTTCATACATGGTTAAAGTTATGATGTTGGATTAAATAAAATATTGCTACTCAGATTATCTTTAAATCAAGTCATGTCTGTGGATTTTTCAAATTAAATTATTAGGTGTGAGCAAAATTGAAATGATTATTTAATAAAAATTCCAAGCTGTAAATCATCATCATCATGTTCTAAAGGCAACGGCTTGTCGAAGTAGCCATGTGTGTCATTGCTGCTTCCTTTAGGTATTGGTAGGATGTGCATGCGACAAGGCAGTAGACGCACTATTTTATTTTTTAAGTCAAAGTTGTATGAAAAATAGGTACATGTTTTTATAAGACAACTTATTTTGCCTAGTTTTCATATTCATGTGTACAGTGTGTGTAATAATTTTGTTCATAGATTAGTATGATTTAAATACTGTATAGTATATTATGCTCTGTTAATATGGTAGGTGAAGGTGGGCTGCACTAGGGCTGAGACAAAAATTCTAATCGTAGAATTATTCAAAATTTAAACTTCAAACTTTTACAAGATAGGTATAAACAAATATTAACTATTTAGGTAGTTATTTATTAAACTCTTTCTCCTTAGTGCTTATAGCGGTGAATAATATTCTACAAGAAACATTTTTATGTAGGTATCATGAAGTTGTATCCGGTGTGATGTACATTATAACCAATTACAAATTAATTTTGGTAAAAAATTCAACACATAGTTAAAAACAAATTAATTTATGACGTATTAGACAGTTATTTGAAATAATATTAATACTAACTATTATTTATTAATATTAAATTGTAGAAAATTCCTCTGCGTGAAGCGTTAACCAGAAAGAAAGTGTATTGCAGTGAAGATGAACCAGGAAAAGAAAATTTAAAGCGAGTGCTAAACTTATTCGATATAACTCTTTTAGCCATAGGTGCCACTTTGGGATCTGGAGTTTACGTGCTTCCTAGTGTAGTATCCAAAACCATTGCTGGTCCTGCAGTTGTATTATCATTTATAATTGCTGCCATCGTGTCTTCGTTTTCCGGTGAATTATTTAAAATTTATGTACATAGGTTTATAAACACACATGACACACACACACGTCATGAGCCATATTTCGCACCGAATTTGGTAACACTTCATTGGTAAAAAATATAAATTCGTTATTATGTACCTCCATTACAGTGTGACACAAAACAATGTTTGTAGGTATTCAACAAATTTAAAATTTGAACAATTATTTGTTCGAATTATTAACTTGCAATATGTTAAAAATACGAATATTCTTATTCATTTGAAAAGTAAAAGCATTTTTTCGGTTAAATTTTAAATGCACAAATATTATGCACTATATATTTTTCTCATAAAACACAATTATTTTATGTTTAATGTATATACTTAATAGGCCTATGCTATGCTGAATTCGCTAGTCGTGTACCTAAAGCTGGGTCTTCATACATTTACAGTTATGTAGCTGTTGGAGAATTTACCGCTTTTGTCATTGGGTGGAATGTAATTATAGAACACATCATTGGTATGTTATTGGAAGATTAAACAATGAAATTAAACTAATTAACATAATAATTGTGTTCGTTTTGTAATAACTATAGGAGTAGCGTCTGTTGGCAAAGCATTGAGCAACTATTTCGATTCGCTTCTGGGATATCCTCAGAAACAATTCATGATCGAACATTTTCCTATACACATAAGCTTTATGGGAGAGTATCCCGATGTTGCATCGTTTTTATTCATAATGATATTTACATGTAAATAAAAAATTATAGAAACATTAAGGTATTTTAAATGTGTAAAAAAAAATGTCAACAAATAAGCCGCCATTTGATTTAACAAAAACAGCGTTAAAAATAATAATAATTTATAATAACAAAATTGGTTATAGATTTTATTAATTACAAACTTTATTAGATTTAAAAAAAAAATTTTAAACGCATATCGATCGCCTATCCGTCCAAGACATTGCATGTTTGGTGGAGTATTTCCAATTTTGATTGCAAACAAATATCTAATTTAGGTACTAGAATTATTTGATGACATCAAAATTTTTAATTAATTAAATGGCATGACTAAGAGTGCGAAAATGATCAGTCCTGTAGATGGAAATTCTATAGCAATATACTGTGAAACAATTTAGAACTATGAAAACCTATACAAAATATATTATTTTCTAGTGTTAGTAGCTTGGGGCGTCCGTGAATCTTCGTCTGCTAACAATATATTCACTTCGTTGAATTTGTTGACTATATTTACAATAATTATTAGTGGATGTTATTTTGGTGAGTAACTGTTGTTTTTATTATATTTTTATACGTTTCGATTATTCAATAATTGTCTAGTACTTATTAGTTTTGATTATTTCTTAGCGGATTTCAACAATTGGAAAATTAAAAAAAACGCCATTCCCGCCGGTGTGAACGGTGGCAATGGCGGATTTTTCCCCTTCGGATGGCAAGGCGCAGTCGCAGGGGCGGCAAAATGTTTTTACGGTTTTATAGGTTTTGAAACCATTTCAACGACGGGTAATTATTTTTTATGATTGACATACGTACACTTTATTTACTTGGTCATTAAAAATGTATAAAATATTCTAAACGATGTTGTTTACTAAAGGCGATGAAACGAAAAATCCCAAAAGGACAATACCCTTAGCACTAGTAATATCTTTGTTGTTTACCACCACCGTGTATTTTGCCATTGCTGTAGTAATGACGCTAATGTGGCCGTATTATGATCATGTACGTAAAAAGTTATGTTATGTTTTTAATTGAACCTATTTATCGGAAATTGATTAATCATTGTGAACAAAATATATAAAGGATTCGAACGCACCGTTACCGGTTATTTATGGACATTTGGGCATGCCAAGTATTAAATATATGGTCTCCGGAGGAGCGATGTTAGCCTTAACTACCACGTAATGTCATTCATAAATTGACTAATTTTATTTATTTATTTGTTTATTATTATTGTATACGGGCTGGGCCCTTTTTACAAATATATACATGCATATTTGTACATAAATGAAGAACATTAAACACACAAATGTAGTTTATGCTTTGTTATACATTTTTAAAAATGTATAATAAGGCATATTTTCCAGTTTAATAGGTTGTTTATTTCCGCTGCCTCGAATTTTATACGCTATGTCCAGCGATGGACTTCTATTTAAAATATTTTCAAAAGTCAACAAAACAACCAAAACGCCGTTCATATCCACCATTTTTTGTGGAACATTTGCTGGTAATTCTAAATACAAAATACATAGGGTGATCCACCAACACATCATTATGTATAAACTGGGAAACTAACTATTACAAACTCATTAATATAAATTTAATTTTTAGGAACTTTATCAACTGTATTCAATCTCGAACAGCTGATCGACATGACGTCCATTGGAGTATTTCAAGCCTATATAATCGTATGCATTTGTGTGCTAGTACTTAGGTACCTATTATTAACCTATACGATATTATTACAAATTATAGTTCGATATTAGATATTACGTTAAATTTCTGTGTATCTATTTGAAAATGAATTCGTGGTTATAATTTAGGTATAAACATAGTAGTCAGTTTAAAGATGACCCAGAAGTATCCGAAGTACGTGGACTACGCAAATGTTTAAATATGTCCAGCTTAAAAGTAACCAGTGCAGACACCCAATATTTATCAAGAGTGTGCATATTGATCTACGGTTAGTTACCAATTAATAAGAAACTAAGATTAAAATAAAAACTATACTTATTTTATACTAATCCTATATATTCTAATATAAATTGCGAATACTTTTCAGTATTATTCGCTGTTGTGTTGTGTATTTGTCTTGTAAACATGGAAAAAGACCACGGTATCATGAGTTTTGTATTGACAGTATTGTGTAACATTTCAATTATTGTTTTGGTTATTGCAATGATTTTGTTGAGTAGATTGCCACAAGCAAACGAAAATATATCGTTTAAGGTAGGTTAATTCAAAATGCTAGGGTGACACAGTCAGTGAATGAACGGTAAACAAATATGAACAGTTATTGTTGTCCTATAAATTATTGTTTACAAATAACAACGCACCGAAACATAAAATTGTAATTTTATTAGATAGTTAGATATCCATATTTTTTAATAATTATATTATACTTGATCTATCCCAAGGTATTACATGTTCATTCACTGTTGAAATCATCAAGTATGTAATTTTTTTTTTCACTTTTTTTTGTAGTAGTTAGCAATCTTTGTCCAAGCTAGCTATTTATACTATTAACGATAACTAAATATATCACTGATAATCATTTTTCTGTGATTTGCATGTTTTTAACATAATTATGTCTTTGTGTTATCAGTTTTATTTTGTAAAAATGTTATAGGTACCGTGCGTTCCTCTTATACCCTGTTTGAGTATTGTGCTAAATATGTATCTTATGATGAAATTAGATATTAAAACGTGGATAAGATTTGTATTATGGATTTGCTTAGGTAAGTTTAATAAAATATTGTTATGTAAATAAAATATTTTACTTTAAAATGTAAATTAAACACATTATACGAAACTCAGCAATTAAGTACTTTCTTATTTGTTTTTATAGAATTGTATTACTATAGTTTGAAAAATATATTGTATGTAAATTATATAAATTATATGATATAATATGTATCTGTTTTAATTATAGGTTTACTGGTTTATGCATTTTATGGAATTAATCATAGCTTGGAAGCTTTAAGAAAACAAGAAGTAAAAAAAAATTACGTTCATACCTAATAGTACAAATGGTATTTTATAGAATTTTAAATATGTAATTTATTACAAAATGGAAATTTAGCTGAAGTATATATTTTTACAGTACTTAACTTTCCTAATTACTTTGTTATTAATAAAAACATATTTAAAATAAAATATTTTTTTACATAATACATTATAATTTGTTAGTTTTTTCAAACAATAATTTAGCCTAATATTCTTTATAATTGAATAATACAGATATAGTATAAACAATGTTGATAAAAAAATATTAACTTTAAAGTATTATTACTTCACTCGAATCAAACTCGTGACTTTTCAAAGGGATAACAATAGATATAATTTATATTATTATTATTTATAAAGCATTTATTTAGTATAGAGTAAGAATCTGGTTAGAAAATAGATAACACTTTCTTATATTTTTTTATAATTATTATAACAGGAAACAATTTTTAGTGTTGAACTATAATATTATAGTCTAACTTTTCATTGAGGTTTAATGGGAAAGTCATTACAAGACAATAAATTAATACAAATGTATTGACTGACTTGTACTCCTCACTCCCCAGCACCAATGAGACCAGGCAAAACAAATATCAATGGAGTCAACTTAATAGACATATTTCACTATGTAATTACCTTATAAATTCGGTTAATCAATTATTATAAGTCTAACCCTTTTATACAAATTGTATTTTTATAATAAAAGTTTGTCAATACACTGTCAAGTGTCACCTCCGTATTTTAGTAGAGTTAAATTTCCGGACTATGTAATTCACTTGTAGAAGGTTAATTGCAATTATATATTTATTTAATCTTTTTTATTTATTATAGTTTTTTACGGCACTGCTGCGCCACCTCCTTCGGTGCCTCTAGTAGTATAAACTGAAATATATACCTATAAATATATATATATATATAACTAGGTCAAACCATCTACCAAAGGAAAATGGAATCAAATAAAATTAACTCAATGGACATGTCATTTGATTGATTATTATGTTGTGTTGTTTGGCAACCCGAATTATTGGGTAGCTCACTTTATATTATTTTATTAATAAAGTCGTTTATATATAACTATGTAACGCACTTATAAATGGTTAAACATTTATAAATGTAACCGTTCTATGATGTCATTTATATAATTACAGTTTATCAATATGCCTCGCCTCCGAATCTCAGCGGGGCCAATAATCCGGACTATGTAATTTACTTGTTGAAGGTTAATAACAGCTTTAAATCTAATCTTTTTTTAAATTATTATAGTGTTTTAAGACACCGCTATCTCCTCGATACACAGATGGGCATTTTTTATTTAAGTTAAAAGTTAACACGATGAATAAACATTTTAGTCATAACATAAAGTTAACTTTTTAATCATTATCCATTTAATCATATAATAACAAATAATCATGAATACAAATTTCAACTTTGAAGTACGATTAAATTAGTCATGATTGAAAAAGTTAATCATGGGCAAAAGTTGAATCAATCATGATTGAAAAAATATATCATAACCAATATATAATTAGTCATGATTAAAAAATTAACTGTAATCGACATGTACTTCGAGTCCACACTCCTCGATTTCTCGCTCGACCATCTACCAGAGGAAAAGTACGGAACTTTACACAAACGGACTCGAAAGTGTTTGCTACCAAATCCCAATGACAGCTAAAAACTTGTCGAGCAAATTATTGAAAATTCAGTTGACCAGCTGAGCTTCTGGCAACGTAACAAAAAAACATTCAGCTTTTTAAAGCATACAGGCTACAGCGACTAAGAGTTTTAGTCGGTCGAAACGTCTTATGCTGCTGTAATTATTAGCATTTAGCTCTACAAAACTAAAATGTTTTATGCATAACCAAAGACTGGTTTATTATAGTTAGACTGAATATTAATGTGGCGACACGTAAACAAGACTGAAAACAGTAACGTAGTGGCATCGCGACTCCACAGTCCACTTGGTTCCATCAAGTCACAGCTGGACGGCTACTGCTTTTGCTGTTCTTGTACCTGTGTCCGTCCGTTAAATCGTACTTGTCTGGAAGTAAAGTTATAATAATAAGTTTTCATGGTCGGAGCGCAATTCCACATACAGCTGACTAATAACAGTTTACACAAAATACGGCCAATGACCGAAACTACCAAATCGACCGAGACCAACCACTTGTATTAGTTTTTATTTTAGTATTACTTTTATTATTACTCTTTCAGAATTTTTTTTAATTTACTCTGTAGTTTTTTAATACTTATTCGCGTTTTGTCTTATTTTGTTTAAGTTGGTTATGACTTTTGTACATTGTACAAGTTAGGTACAACGTAAAACGTATAAAGTTTCACAAACACAAGTTCCACGTGAATGCTCACAAGCGTATAACAGATGTTTCTAAGACATTCTTTAATTTTATAAAATATATTAACGAACAGATAACAGACAACTTTATTTCAAACAACAAAAAACATAGCGTAATATAGAAAAAAAATAATTTATAAATAATCGAAACGTAATTTGTATGGACTACTTTAATCTATAATAGCCAATAGGTACCATTTATATCAGAATATACAAAGGGATTTTATCACTTTCAGTTGTAATAATTAATTTAAACCTGTGACTACCCCCGCCCTAATATGCTTTGTCCCCAATATGCCCCGATTTCACTGTACTGGCTTTTTTTAATATGTCTTACATTTTATAACTGTAATAAATAAAATAATACGGCTTAAAACACACTTAAAATCACGACCATGTGGAGCCTTTTTAGAGATTTAGGTATTGAATATCATTATTGATGTGTAATGAGGGTGCACAGGTGTAAAATCACAACAAAACAGTGTAATATGCATTTCTCGCCTATGAATATTGACAGAAAAAACTTGTATTTGGGTTACACATAAATAGTAGCAAACACATTTGCTATGTTTGCTTTTTGCGGTCGCAAGTCACAATACAAAAATGCAGAACACTGTCGTTCATAAATATATCATATTGAAGAAATTATAAACTCTATTACTTTTTACTTTTGAATAACTTAAAATAAGGTATGTTATCGCATAAAGTATTATGGTGTTTACTTGTACCGTATCTTTTAACGTTTGAAAAAATTGTTTTGAATGTCGAACCATCAAAGTCTGTAGAGCAACATGAAAATGTACCAAAATTGAAGAATATAAAAACGGAATATGAACAAAGTAATAGACTGTCATTTATTTTTGAAGAAGTTAAACTTAACAATCTAGATGAAATAAAAAAACTTATTGAATTATACATATAGGAAGTCTAAATTTTATCAACCGATGAAACATTTAAAGTCCAGCATACAAACAAATAATAACAGTCACGATGACGTATGTAGACTTGTCGAGTTAAATAAAAAGATTTTAATTAATTATTTAGATCATAGTATGGAATTCGGTGACAGTTCTAAAATCGGCAGGTACAGATTCTTAGTACACAACCTGTATCTTCAGTAAAAAATTCTATGCGAAATTGAAAAAGCACTGATTTTGTGTGTGTGTCTATTGACAAAATAGTTCGATCCTCTGTAATCGCTAATCCCTTTTATATTAACTACCACCTATTGATCAGAAATTATATTCTTATTGGCAATTCTGAGGATTAAAAATATAAATTATTAACTTATGTTTACTCATACTCACTCATACTCTTACATTGTATGTATTACTAATTACTAAACAATGTTTTATTTTCAATGACAACCCATAGACAAATAACGTAACAACCAGACTTTGTAGTTGTATTTATCGAATAGTTAATCATTAGTTAGTCAAACAAAATTAAAGTTACCTTAACTATATTTTTATTTGATAGGACTGAGGACAGTTATTTGATGGGTACGACTAAGAAATATAGTTGAATGAAACCTCGAATCGTGTGGAAACACAATAGTTATTTGTTTTCTAAGTATTATCGATGAGTTATTATTATTTATATTTATTTAAGCAAAATGAATAAATACTGTGTTAACATTCCACACGATTCGATGTTACATTAAACTATATTTTTATATATTAAAAAAAAAAATAGATGGATAGCCGCAGTTTGTCGGTTGAGTCTTTTTTGTTTAAATACTAAGTTACTATCTTTTAATACGTTGACTGCTACGGTACTTATTAGTATTCCGGTCTAACAAAATACTTTATGTAATCATATTTTATTATCAAAAACACGAATTATAGTACAAAGTAATCATCAAAAAGCATATAGAATGTGTTGTTTTAGCAAGTAAACAAAATATGAAATAATTCGTAATTGGCGCCTTAAGAAATAACGTGTTAACCTATTTTATAAAATACAATTGTGTCAACGTAAACAGTATAACTTTGCAGAATAATGTTGCTATCAGTGATTATAGTTAGTGTTTTTGGATCATTTACCTTTTGTTGTAAAGTGTTATCACATTCGTCTAATAATGATATAAATAACGCTTACAAAACTCTTTTAAACATTCAAACTGGTTACGATGAAGACAATATGACATTCATCGGTAATGTCGTCCCTAAGGCGGGTGATTTTAAAAGATTGCGATCAGAACGAATCACAAGACTCAGATGCGGATTCGTTTTTAGTGCTTTATATCATATGCGGTCGTCTAAGATAGCAATGGACACACAAGGTCAAAACATGTCCACGATATTTCTAAGAATGTCAATGTATTACAAAGTGATAATGGAAATGTTGACAACTCTGAAAAACTCTGGCATTAAAAATACGAACGAATTATGGTATCTGCACATGTACATAAACAGAACTCATTTTCGCGTGCAGATGCTTTTCGCCACGACCACGGTGGAAGACGACACTATAGAGAATGTAATGTTAGAACACGAGAAAATCGATGAGCGATTGCAGGAGTTCGTGGTCGAAAACAGATGCGACACAGCGAACAAGTTCAACCACGAGTATAGAGAATCTCCGTTCTTTGGTCAGCTGCAAGCGTTCGGCTCGTGTAGGCAGATGAAAAATTGTCAATTCGATAAAGTGACAGCGCTGATAAGTGAGAACATAAAAATGGTAAACAATCTGATGGATCATAACGAAACGGTCGGTGGATTGTCGAAAAACGGACATCAATGTTTTGAAACGGAACACTTGTGTTTGAACAACGTAATGTCACGCGGGACCGAAATGCGTGAAATTTTTGAAAAGTTGAGTCCAGAAATGTACTGGGGAGAAACGTTAAAAATATTGAAAACGGCGAACGCGAAAGCACAAGTCGTAGACATTCCTTCCAACGATTTCGCCGACATGGCCAGGTATCAGTCCATATTCATTGACGTACTTGTAATAATTGAATTGCGGGTCGTTTGGAGGCATTTGACGGTCGTCAAGGAAAAATCCGGATTACATATTATTAAGCATCGACCGACTTTCGTGTCTACTTTGAAGTATAGAGAGATCATAGTTAAAGAAATAACGGATTTTGTCGTTTATACGAACCAAGGAAAAGTAATTTTTTTCAAAAAACTACTCAAGCTAATTAATAGTTTACATATTACTAATAAAAATAAGAAAATTAAGAAATTAATTAGAAAAATAAAAAAACATATGTTAAAAATCTCGGGTAAATTTAATATTAGTGTACTGAGTGATGTGGATTTAGAGAGCGAACGCACTTGTTTGAAGTTTGCTGTCGATCATAAATTAAAAAGCGTAAAACAATTTCAAGATGACATGAAAAAAGTAGGCTTGATATGTAGTCAAGTATTTCTTGAATACTTGAAACAATTATTGCCTAACGTCGACTTTTATGTGATTCGTTTATTTTACAATTTTGTTAAGCCTGATATTAGTATAGAGAATTAACTATTTGTAATTACAATTGAACGTTTAATCTTTGAAAACACTAATTTAAGTCCGGCTATAATATAGTGTGGTATATGGTTAAATGAATCTCTTGTACTTTATCTACCTTATTCGAAATCAACTTCTATTTCTTTTTCTGATTATGACTTAGGTAAACCAAAAGTCTATGTAATGTATAAATCTTTGAAAAAACATTGGTATTTATCTACTAGTTGTAATAAGCAATAGTATTTCTTTGTTGTATTCTGTTAAATATTGAATGATATGTAAATTACGTAAATGAAATATAATGACTATTGTTTATATGTTTTTGTATATCATAAATGTTCTTAAATTATATAAAACTTAAAAATTCTGTTTGACGCGGTTCGTGTAAACAGTACCGTAGCGTATAGGCGCAATGGTGCGAAGCAGCAAATCATTTAAAATTAAAATCGTTAAAATTTCACTTATTTTCCAAACAAAGAATGATTACTCAGTATTGCGAAATTAATTTGTTTTTCTGTAAAAATACAACTTATAAACCAAAAAGTGAAGGTAAATGCAAGCTTTAACAAATTAGTACCGAAATACAACTATTTTGATAAAATTAAACAAAATAACTGCAACTGCCTTTTTACCCGACTGCGGAACAAAGAGTTAAGAGGGTTAATATGTTTACGTGTAAAACATGTTTGGACTCATTCGAATTGAAAAAAATAAAGTGCGATTTAGATCTCAATAATATTTCTTTGTACACCAATTACTATTCCTTAAACGTTATAAATATACTTGACACTTGTTAATACATTTACTCTTTAGACCAGTACTGTAACCAGAAATTAAGTTGTTCTTTTTTTTTTTGGGGGGGGGGGGGTCACCAGTTATTAAGGCCTTAGGGATAGTGTATATTTTACAACATTCGATAGTTTGCTATGATTTGCCGCACACATATATTATTATAAAAAAAAATATATTTTTTAGAGGGGGAGGAAGAACACTTGCCACTGGTATATCTTACTTTTCAACTCGTAAAGTTCATGTTATTAGTTGCACATTATTTATTTATTGTCTACATCAACTTAATTGTTTAGGAAATATTATAACAAATGATAATACATTAATACTTGACTAATTACATGCTGCCAAAAAAATATATTCAAGACGAGGAATTTCTAATTGTTTATAATCGTATACAAATACCAATTTGATTATCGTTGTGACTATTCTGTGTTTACTCGAAGTCAGTGGCCTCATTACCGTTGGATTATGTTACCGATAGCGAACAGCCGGTCTGCATGCCGTCTCAGTGTGTACTTTGCCAAACCGTTAGTTGGCTCACACCAACGTGTTCCACGTGGTTTATCAGTCGTGTACCGTATCAAACACTAACGGCTGATAAATTGATAACGAGTGATTATTCTTACGTCACACTCGTAGACAATATTATACATTATGTTCGCTTCCTAGTTCCTAGATTTGTCAAGAACAAATTCTATTACCTCATTTAGCTAAAACACAAACGTCACTTTGTCTCACTGCACGCAGAAAGCTCGACGCAACTACATCCGTTTGTGTTGTAATTTACCAAACATGATTTGAAACAAGCCTTGTCATCTATACGATCAATAGAGTTGACTGCCCCTCCTCTGTCTAAGGTACGTTTGCCGCACATCACTCAACTTATGTGTACTATATTCGTTTGAAATGGCACAACAATTGTAGTTTTGTTGTGTTAAAGAATGCGTCACAAGCCGAAACTGATCAAGATGCCAATTCAAGTAACCAATTCTGTTGCAAGTGAAATAACACCTGCATCCAAGCCCAAATTCAATCAAAAGAAAATTGAAAAAGTAAGTACCGTTTTTTCTAATAAGTATGATAACAGCTGTGATAATACCAAATTGTTAAGTTTTATCCATAGACGTAATATATTATAATGGTTTTTTAGTAGCATGCATCATGATTGTTTTTATTAACAAAGTATAATACGTAGTAAGAAATTTCCTTGTTTGCTAAATAATGAGCTAATATAGTCTGTCCTATCCATTTTGTTTGCATACATTATCATTTTATTATGTTAGACAATTGTTTAATACCGCATTGCTTATGTGAAATTTCGGCCTAAAAAAATTATTGTCCTTGAGATTAAATTATAACTGAAATAAATCATTTCATAAAACTGTTAAACAGATATGCTTTATAATAAATTGTTGAAGGTACAAAAGATTTAGTTTTAAGTTAAATTTTTCTTTAAAACTATATCTTAACATTTCAGTTATATTATCTATTAATGTTATTAATAATAATTAATAAATAGCATTTAATATATGAATTGTTTTAGGTAATACAAAACGGGCAAAGCAATAATTGTAAATCGAAGAAACAGCTTAAAAAGTCTGCAACTATGGACGCCCATTCCATTGTGATATGGAAACATCCCATTTTAACATTAGATTATTTCTTTAAAGAAGTTGTATATTTAGCCAAGTCTTTTGTAAAAAAGTAAGTGTTGTTATATTTTTAAAATAAATTTAATCTACTCATAAAATTTCTTATAGTTACTTCTTATTTCAATGCCTTTTTTTTAAAACTAGCACATTTATTTTCCTTTCACATTACACGTTAATTTGTTCAAAAATAGCTCATTAATGGAAAATGCTGCAAAATTTAGGTAACATGTAATAATTTTACTTCTATTATAATAGTCAGTGAATCAACTGAAATTTAATTTTATTTTGTAAATATTTTCTGTCTTTGTAAGAAAAAAAAATGTGTTTGTTTCCATAAAGGTGTTGAATTTTAAAAAATAGTGTTGATTTTTGATTTACAAAACAATACAGTTTGTTTTATTTATTGGTGAAGAATAATTTCTAACATATCTATGTTATATATCATGTCTAGTTTAGTTTTCCTGCCAATTCAACATTGAAATTAATAATACAAATTACAGTAAAACTATAAATGTATATGTTTCTTTTAAGTCTTTTGATTTAATTTTGATAGTTCACAAGTCACTCTTATCAGAAAAATATATTTAATTATAACTGTTAATTTTATTCATTAATTGTATGGATTAAAACTATAATCCGCTTTATCAATAATTTGTTTAAACACAAATTAAAGAAATTATAAAAATTTTCATAATTTTAGATTTTGCTTTTACATTTTAAAAATATATTTCCTTAACTACATTAATAATTTAACAAACAATAATAGGTAGATATTTTGTAGTTAAATATTTACTTGATATCATTTGATATTTTCTGACTGTAGGTTATAATATTTGTTATGGTTATTTAATTTTAGTTTTAGCTTATACAGCTCAGGTCATTGACTTCAGTCTTATTAAAATAATATATTACCTGTTACTTATGTAAAAATAAGTTTTAAGTTTGTTTATGGGGAAAAAACAGCCATTAAAAAATTAAATTTGAATAATTCAAATATATTTTTACCAATTGAATATTATTTGAAATTGATTAACAATTTTAGTTAAGGGGTCTAGATATTTAGATACATAGAAGTGCACTAAGGTTATCATCTCAGTTAGTTAACATGCAATGATAACTAGATACAAATTACTATTTGATTGTGTTAACAATATTTATGTTGATAAATAAAATTGCATAAATCAATAAAACCAATAAATAAATAGTAATAAGTTTTTATTGTATTTATTTTTTCAGATTAATTTGTTATAAACTCTATGTACTTTTAGTTCTATTAGTTATATCTGCTCCAATTATTTTATCATATATTGACGGACCTCATTTACCAGTAAGTTATTTGACGTTTTTAATCGCAACCAATTATTAAGTAGTAGATATATTTATTTTATATAAAAATATTTTTTTTTTTTTTAGATGTTACTATGGGCAAAATCAAGAACATCCTGGTGTTTATATTGGTTAGGTCTGGGTGTCCTATCATCTGTTGGATTTGGTACCGGCTTACACACATTCCTTCTTTATTTGGGTCCACACATCACTTCTGTCACATTAGCCGCGTACGAATGTGGTGGGCTTAATTTTCCAGAACCACCTTATCCAGATCAGTAAGTCAATTGATGATAACTATAGTAATTCACTATAATAGAAAAATATTATATATTTTGCTCTAGAATCATTTGCCCCGATGAAATTGATTCTGCTTGGACAGCCAGCTTATGGAACATCATGTCTAAAGTACGCGTGGAAGCCATGATGTGGGGAGCTGGAACTGCTCTAGGAGAGTTACCTCCTTATTTTATGGCGAGAGCAGCACGACTTTCAGGTCGACCTCCTGATGAAGACAAAGAAGATTTGATTGAATTTGAAGAGTTGTTGAAAAAAGAAAAACACCCAGAAACTATGGTACGTATCAAAGAGAAAAACAGATCGATGGAATTTAATATGAGCATGTTTTTGTTATATTTTTTAGACATTAGTTGATAAGTCAAAATTATTTGTTGAGAGACTAGTGAAGAAAGTTGGCTTCTTTGGAATATTAGCATGTGCATCTGTAAGTAATAACTAGTTAAAAATTTGTTTTTCGACTATATAATATTTGACATTAAAAATCAACTTGCAGATACCTAACCCGTTATTTGATCTTGCCGGCATTACATGTGGCCATTTCTTAATACCCTTTTGGACATTTTTCGGCGCAACTCTATTGGGCAAAGCAGCAATTAAAATGAGCATACAAGTGTTATTTGTGGTTATTGCTTTCAATGAAACATTAATCGAGAAAGTTCTTGAGGTTGTTGGGAAAATTCCAGGAATCGGGAAGAACTTACAAGCTCCCATTACAAAATTTTTAGAAAATCAAAAACAACGGTTACATCTTAAAAAAGATTCCAAGGTAAGTTTTTTATTTTTTATTTTAAATATGTTTGGATATTATAAGAAATTAATTTTATAATTATTAACGTTTCAGGGCACAAATATGGTAGTGAGATTGTTTGACGTTTTTGTAATTTCAATGGTGATGTATTTTATTGTATCGTTAGTTAACTCTTTAGCACAGAATTATTATAAGCGCAATAATAAGACTACAAAAAAAATGTCCAAAGACTGACATTCGGTTGTCAACCATTCGAAATTACGTTATCGTAAGTCCAAACGGCATTGAAATAATTATGATTATAATTATTATATTTTATTACTACTACATTTTTCTTGTAATTAATATAAAAAATTCTTGTTTCTCTGATATCTTAAATAAGTTCATACTTTGTATATTATATAAAACAAATTAATAAATATTACAGGGACTTAATTTTTTAATTTTTAATATGCTAAGGGGTGCATATTAAGTAAACCGCTCAATAAGTCTACTCTTTCAAGTGTACTGTTTTATTGTAATTCATACAGAAATTCAGAGATGCACGTATAAACATATAGTTACATTATAAATTACATTTTTCATTCTGTTTAGTGCCCAAACACGTCCTATTATTCGTTTGCTAAGTACCTATTTGTAAAATCATAATCATTAGGCTGCTAAAAAAGTTGATGATGTATACATATTTAAATTTAGAGCATAATCTGTTATGAACCAAGTGTTACCATAATATATTGTTTAGTACTAGGTATAATGTTTATCTACCTATTAGTCTAGACCACAACTTTTCGTAAAATTATTATTCGCTTTACTATAAATTTAACTATTTCAATTTTTTGTCCTCTCATTCTTGAGTCTTAACCAAATTTATTATTGTTGTTTAAGTGATGCTACCCACCCGTAAATTTTAGTGTAAAACTGGGTCTGCGTGAATCAATACTGTAGAGGCTGTGTAGTACTAGAATTACTAAATTTTCATAAAACAAATAGAGGTGAATATTATCTGTTCTTAAACGTGCAAATTTTTCGATAGGTGGAATATTTTTTTATTCTGTGAATGTTTAAAAGTATAGGTTAAAAATTAGTGAATTGAATAGTCAAAAAATTTAGAAACGCTTAAGCACAAATAATGTTTTCCTCTAGGTACTACGAACAATTTGGTGATTTTACAACAATTACATGTCAGTAAACACTATGGTTTTGATTTGCGCCAATCTTATTTAATGAAAGATAATTATAATTTTGTCTATAAAAATGTCTGACAAAAAAAAAAAATAATAATAAACCAATAAAGAACTCTCATTATTGTATTAATAGGTATAATACACTTATAGTTTAAGCTCTAAATTAAGATTTTGCGAAAAATTGCCTATACTTTACCTTATAAATGGGTGGGTAGCAACCTCTTAATATGATCATGACACATATAAATGTTATAAATGACTCGAACCATTGTATGTTTAAGTTAGATAAGCTTAAAAAATGTATATTATATTATTGTTTCTGGTTAATTAATCAAAAAAACGTTTGCCCAATTTGTATTGTTATATTTTTTGTTTGTTAATTTTTTTTCATAATTCTTGTTTTATGTACTACAAAAGTTTTTGTTTTTATTAGTATATTATATTATATAGAACATCAAACATTGTAAAATTTTGATAAATTATCTTGTGATTTAGTTGGTATAAATTATGATGGTAGTACTGTAAAATATATAATTTTAGTAGTAGAAGACTGCTGCCGTTCCTCATCTGAAATCTTGTTCATTCCTGTTAAAATAAAATAAAAAACTTCTTTATTTTTTTTTGTAACATACACTTTTGGTGTTCAATTACATATTACTTTTGCTTTGTGAATATTTTTAATAACTTCTATTTATTGGATGTATTAGTATACATTGTTTCCTAATTCTTAGACGTATAGGTTAGAACTTATAGTATGCTTCTCGTTTATAATCAAGTTAGCTAAATAAATCCATTGTATTTTTTTCAGGGGGGGGAGGGAGTTACTGTATTATTATCCATTAGAATTATATTATGTTTGCGAGTATTTGATGTGAAGTCTTTATTATTCTAGTTTAGAATTGATTGTTTTAGTCAAGGCATATTCAATTGCTTCCAAAATACATAATTTACATGTTTAGATGGCAATTGTAATAATTAAATAAATTTCTTAATTGTGATTTGTGTTTTTGTAGATGGTTAGTATACAATGTGTTAGATTTTTTTTTATATTTGTGTAGTTTAATTAATAGTTGTATAAACATCTTAAAATCAATCACCTTAAATATATATATATTTTTTTTTAAAATGATATTTATATATTGGTTAAATTAAAAGTTTGTGTTCAATTTTGTTCGATAATATTAATGATGGAGTTTACATATTTTTTCTGCACAAATACTTCAAATGATAAATTAATAAAAGTAAACTTAAACTTCTGATATAAATGCAATTGTTTTCTATTTTAAATTGTGCCAAGCAAAATAATCATTTATTGGTTTTTCTTTAAAATTTCAAGCATTATTCTACATACATTAAATGTTAATTATACTATTGATTATCAACAGTAATTTTATGTTGTTACACTTTCAAGTATACTCGTAATTAAATAACGGTATTTTCCTTATTTAATGCAATATTTTCAAGTAAATAATTAGTTGAAACAAATATTAAATAAAACAAACCAATGGCTTGTTCATTTAATTAAATTATTTTATTATACTGACAGTCCTAACAACTGTATAACGCAAACCTTATTTCAAGAGAAAACAATTATCTAATTTCATTTTAATACACTCAAAATAATGAAAAAATGTTTTTTGCTTTTCAAACGTTTTATTTATAATACACACAATAATGATTATAATAAAATTATATCAAGAAAATAACAAAACTTTAATTTAAGGTGTTAAATATAGTTAGCTAAAAGTTAAACAATTTATATTTTATTTAAAAAAAAATTTAAACATCTAATTGGAACTAAATATTTCACAAAAAAATACCAACCAAATTAAATATGTATGTTATTTTAAAATCATTATTATAATTGAGAACCTTAAGAACCTAAGGTTACCTATAATTTACCTTTACAATGTACATACTAGTTCAAACTATTACCATTGACTATTAATACTATTATTATAATAGTTTTTATAATCAATGCAATCAATGCAAAATTATCACCATGTTGTATTTTTGATGTAATATAATTTCGATTTAACAAAATAACAAAATTTTAAGTACAGTTTTTTGTTCTATCAGGTATTGAATACTCTCCCTAATTACTACCATTAGTTCAAGATTATTTTCACTAAAATGATTCTAAATCAAATTTTTATTTTGATCAATAAATGTGATTGATTAATACAGATATTTTTAATAGGCGGTATAATAATAGGGCATTCAATTTTCACATTAATCACAAGGTTAAGTATTTAAGTGTGTACATATATTTTAAAAAATAATCAACAATAACCAAAAAATATATTATCACTATAAAATATATAGAGTAAAATTCAAAATTTATACTAATATTCACATAAAAAACGAGTTGACTTTTAACTTGTAATTATTACTTTTTTATAAATAATTAAATATATTAGTTGACAACAACATTTAACAAAAAAAAAGAAATTACATTGTAAACGGTTTAACAATGATAAATAATTAGAACAGCTTATGAATGCTGTTACCTACACGTTAACCATAATAACATATTACAATTTTGATGCCAGTTACCTTCATCTATACATTTTTTTAATTAATCAATTTTAAAATCCCTTATTCATCACTATTAGTAGAGTCTTGCTGGAATGACGTGAGTAGTTGTTCTATTCGAGAGTATATATCTACATTTTTACGTTCCAAATGATCTAATACCAAATTCAGATTGTCGATCTCTTCGTGTAGCTTTCCCATGACTAAAAATTAATAAAAAATATTGATATTTTCAATGCTAGACGTCAAAAATTCACCATTCAACTAGCAAGGGAATTATTTTACAACAGCTCACCTTCGGCGTTTTCTTCGTTCAATTCTTCTTCTCCCGTCGAATCCATCGACGGTTCGGTTGCTTCTCCTACATCTTCCATATGTACTTCATCCGTCATAGTATTCTAGTTTGGAGTTAATTCCTACGATGCAGATACTTAATTATCCGGAAAAACGATTTCTTAAATGGTATACTGTATTATGTCGCAATGAACAGTAAAAACTTAATACTAAAAAACAATAATATAATCAAATGTATAGATAACAGCTCCACAAAAACAACGCCCATTCATACTTGATAAGACGAGAATTTACAAGGCACAATTCAAGGTCAGCATATGTTACGTCAAACTACTTTTATGAGGTCTGGAATAAACTAAAAAAAAAGTAATTGTTGTCAATTATAGTAATGACGTTTAGACTTAAGTTAGTTGTTCTTACTAATTTCTTATTCAGTAGGTAGTTACTCATCTACAAATTACTTACCATATAGCCATTAGTCATTACTCATTAGTTTTGGTATTAGTCATTTATGCTGATTGCCAAAGACACGTGCTTAACGATGACCAATTATATATTATTAAAATTAAATAAGATTATTTTAAAGAAAAAAATTCAGATACAATAACCACAATGGAATGTTTTTGGACAACGTTGAATCATGATTGTTGTTAGATATCCTTAAAGTGTTTTTACTGTAATTAAAGTACGAAAAAATAGTGTAGGTACCATATAACAGTAATAATTAAAGCCAAAAACTTAAACTTTCAAGTAGGTACAAACATTTTGGGGTTTCTAATTTATTTAATTAAATTCTTTCTCGTGAGCTATAGCCGACACATTATCAAACTTTGTTAATACCTAGTCCCTTTTTCTCTACACTATTTTACATATATATACATATATATTTTTTTTACAAGAACCTGCATTTAAGAAAAACAGATCCCAGCAATAACCGGGGTCGTTTTATTTATTATGCTTTAAAATATATTTAGGTGATCCTGACATAAGGATAGATTTTGATTTTTCATCCTCGCAAAAGCAAGCACAAGTCAACGGTATGTGAAGCTTATTCATAACAAATTAAATTTTGTGTACAAATACATAATATTGACCAACAGCTGAGTGCTGACATCATCGTTGAACTTTGATCCGTATCCTGATTGTAGGATCTGATATAGGTAATATTATATTTTCAAGGTCCTAAATATAAAATATTTTATTATAATTATGCAAAGCGTCTGATAGTGAAAATACCGCAGCCGTAATGTCAATGTGTATACTGTATACGGTATACCTGCAGACACTGTATAGATTAGGTACCTACCTACACATAATATATTAGTGTGTATCCAGCTTGCGAAAAAGTAAATATATATATATAATATATATATAATTTATATATAGCTTATAGGGTACAATGTTCTACTAGTAATAAAGAAAATTTATAAAAATGAGGTGTTTGTTATTTAATAAATGAATTCTTTACTCGTGTAGAAGATATTATTTAGTATTAGATATTTAGATATTTAGATTAGTTAGTTGATGGAATTTTGAATATTTCTTATCTCTATGGCGTTCTGTTAAAAGTTGATGTCATATATTATATAATAGTCAATTTTGATTACAATACCAAAGGTGCTTCGTTGTTTAAATTTGGAGGGAGGGATAATTTGAAAACTTCTGTACAATAATATAGTAACAATATATCTACACACAAGAGAGGAATGTAAAGAGATGTGTGCGGAAAGTTATGTAAATTATAACCTGAGCGAGGGTAGGAAAATAAAACAATATATTTTACAAATTTAAATTATATTAATATAATTTCTTATTTCAAACGAATGGATTCAAATTTCAAACTCCAATTATAATTATAATTCGAAAACAAACTAATTATTGCACAGTTATATTACTATAGAATGTGCGTATACATGTTTTTTTAATTGTAAAATAATAATTAGAATGGCTAATAAAAGATAATTTTATTACGAGATAGAGAGAAGCAAGAGAACAATTAAAAATGTATAAAATGTTCAATAACAAGTACGTTTCATCGTAATGACAGTTTTATTATTAACTATTAAATATTAATACAAATCTGTTAAAAATTAAGAAGCATTAGGCAATAGCATATAGGGCATAGGCTATCTCGCTAAGTAATTGTATAAAAAGTAGGTTGAATGCAAAATCCTTTAGTATTTAGGAATTCAAGTACAAACTACAATCTACAACTAGATTACAAGGTTACTAGATTTAAATTTTTAAGTTTTAAACAAATATTTCGAGCCAAAAAATAATAATTATTGGCCTACATTTAAGGAACATAATTTTGGTATACACACTAACCGTATGTGCGATAATTGCCAAGTTTACCGTTATTACCGAATTCCCGGCAAATACCGATGTTTACGGTAAATACCGTACTTCGATAAATATCCAAAATACCGCGATTACCGTTCATACCGGTGGTAATAAAATAATCGCGATTACTAGTATTCGAATATCAAATACCGCCAACCAAGTAGATATTGTTTGTATATATTATTATAGAAGTTAGAGCACTGTACTACGTCGAGTGGCGTTTCACACGAGTGAAATACTATTATGCTGTCCAGCTATCGCTTTTGTGCGATGACGTCGTGTCGTCTATAGAGCGATATAGGCGTATACACACGTTGAACATTCATTGAATCATTTTTTTAAAAACTTGTATTGTGCAGTTGCCGCTGCCACATCAGTGCGTATTTATCGGTGGAGGTGGCGAAGGAGGCGCGCGCACGTCCTTGGCACGGTAAAAATACAGCCGGAGCGGGCCGCAGACGACGAATAGGTAGGTAAAACGTTAAGCACATGACATCATCAGCACTAGGCCAGCAGTCGCAGCATACGGTCCGTAACATATTTTAGAATATTACTCGTTTCGACAGTGCCGGATACGCGACAAACATAAATAATAATAACAATACAAAAAATCCGTTTCTAATTTTGTAATACTATCACTTTAATCCGCGATTCTCGCCTATTGTTGTTTATTCGATCGTACTGCGCACACGGGTCACTGCCCACTGGCCGAGACAAGCACACAGCTTTAACACCACCGCGCCAATACCGTTCAAGTCTCCGAGCGTCTCACTCAACATGGCTAAATACGCCACCGTCAAAGTAAGATTAATTTTAGTGAACAAATCAATATCATAACCAATAATATAACAACCAAGCCGAAGCCGTGAAATCGTCATTATTATTATCATTTTTTTTCCGTCAAATACACCGCACAATGATAATAACGATATTTTGGTGTCACAAATGCAGCAGACCCAAAAAAATATACCGTGCCGAATCCAAGTGGTACATAACATTCTTAAACGTAATGCTCATTATGCACAATATAATATTTTATAATACACCAAGTTGTTCCAAGCACGCAACATAGTATAATGTAAAGCGTCGTTATTTTGTTTTAGGGTTTTTCGATAACGCGATTTCGCTTTTACGTAACTTTTAATTGGTACGTTTATATACATCATATTATCATAACATTGCAAGTATATATATATATATATCATGTAATACGATAAATCGGATTACTTAGGCGAAGAAACGGCGGTCAACCTATTAGAAAAAAATCATTAAACTAACCCGAACCATTATACATTTTTAAACTGTACAAAAACATATTTATTTTAATTTAGAGTGATTGGTTATCAACTAGATTGCATTAATATTATTATAACCGTCGCGTTTGGGCTCAATTTATTTTACGCGTCTTATCTATTTTAAATATTTCACCAATTAAGTTGTACGTAATATTATCTGTATTAACCAGTAACCTAATGAACTCTCTTTGGCGGACCAATGAGCGATTAGGCCAAAACTGTACCATTATAATATGTGTTATAAAAAAAAAATACAATTATAAAGTATTAAAAACTTTCAACATCAAAAGAATAAAACGAAAAACACGCTTTTGGACTTTAATACTTCCAACTCCATGATGTTTTTATTATTTTATGTCTATATATGTTCGGGTACATGAATTATTTTCAAGTAGTGTATGTTATTGTTTGTTATTTAAAAAATATAATTTATTTTGTTGTTTTCCAGTAGGTGAAATATTTATTAATTATGAACCAACGAGTTATAATAGATAAATGCATATTTTTAATCTACGAAAAGTAAACTAATTTGAATTGTAAATATATGTTATGTTACATATTTGTTATCAACATTTTCGATTATTTAAAAATAAAATATATTAATACTTTCTCAAGCTTCGCAGCTTAAGTGAAAACTGCATTCACTGTTGGGTTGTCGCAATATTGTTTATAACTACCACTTATTTTGTGAACTATAGTAAATTTAGGAATAGAAATTTGTATTGTAGTTGTTTTACTGTAGAGGAAGTCCTGCAGTATGTTTTAGTAAATATTAGATAATCATTAAGAGAACAAGACGAAATATTAAGCAGAATATTTATTTAACCCTCATATTTGAGAAAAATGCTAAATAGGTATAGGGTATTGCATTTTCTCTATAAATAAGCAGCTCTATAGCTCTTCAATTAGTCTTGATCGATTTTGAAAATGTGTGACCTGTTTGCTGCACCGCAAATACTGTTACTTTTATGCTAAATATTACGCTATTGTAACGTTAAAAACAGTAAAATGTTATGGTAACCAAGCGTTCTTTGCATTCGTCCCTATTACGACATTAGCAGTCAGTAATTGTATAATATTTTGTATGCACGTTACATACGTCTTTTTTATGGTTGTCAATGTAGTATACATGTTAGGCTCATTAGTCTGACGTTTAGATATTTATATGAGTTATTACAACCTACTTAACCGCTTGCCGATCGTCAGAAAATCAATCGTAAACAACATAACTTCTGTCATCTCGAATAATTTCAGTGGATGATTTTTTTAATGACTATTAATTAATGACAACTGTTAAAAGTAAATATAAGTCCTGTGCTCTTAGAATAATTTCATTGTGATATCAGACAACATCCGAGCAATCAACTTGGAGGTCACCATCAGTTTTAATTACTAAAATGTACTTTATACTTTGTAGGCTTACGTTTGAAACTGTTTATTGCTATAACTGTGTGGCAAACATGACCTAAATGTTGATCAAACAGAACTTAGCATCGGAGTCGATAAGAAATTTAAACAAATTTAACGACCCATTAAATAATTATGCTAGAAAAGCATAACTGGAACGTTAACTATTGCACTTGTAGAATACATTATCGGTTTTAACAGATGATTGTGATTGAACAAATTGAGTGTTTGCATAATATTTGAGAAATATATAAACGTGCTTTGGCAACAGTGGCAAAATTATGAACAATCAACACACACAAAAAAAAAAAAAAACAATAAGCATAATTTCATATTCTGATTTTTGTTGGCAATTGTGGTTCATTGAACTCAAAGATCCAATAGTCTATTGAACATACTGCGGTCGGAAATTGAGTAAGTATATTGAAAATCTAGAGACTTGGGACTAAAACGTATTTATCCAGACAAAGCGTGGCTAGAAAATTGTCAAGGGGCAGTATGGTTTGAATATTTATAGTTGATAGTGATAGGCTAAAAAACTACCCATCTACCCATCCGCAAGTATACACTTCTTATCTCTGGGTATGCCTTTGTAACCGTGTTTTTTTTGACGTGCTTATACATACTAGAAACACATTTTTCAAAGTCCATATGTCCAAAAATGATGCCATAATAATAATATAAGTTATGTTAAACGAAACCAGCTGTAACGTTTTATAGTAATTGTATTATTTTTCTTTTTCAAGTGTACTCCCACTGTGTTCCCAGCTCCGACCTTCGATGCCAAAGAAGACGCTACGACTTTGAAAAAGGCCCTGAAAGGTTTTAGTTGCGACCAAAAAGCAATAATTGACGTGTTGGCCAATAGAGGCATCGTGCAACGCATCGAAATCGCCGAGGCCTTCAAGACACTTTTCGGCAAAGTACGGTTCAGTTGTTAAACGACAAGTCATATTTTCAAAATAATACTTTTTTAAATGATACTTAATAAATAAATAGTATACTAAATAAAATGTTTTTTGTTTGAGTTGATTGCGAATTGTTGTTGTGTTTGGTTGTCAGGATTTGAAAAAGGAGTTAAAAGGAGGACTCGGCGGAAATCTCCAAGAAACCGCGCTAGCCATGATAACACCGTTACCGGATTTCTACGCAAAAGAATTGCACGAAGCCATATCCGGAATAGGCACCCAAGAGGAAGTGATCATTGAGATCTTATGCACTCTAAGCAACTATGGTGTGAGGACCGTGGCCGAGTGCTACGAAAAAAGTAAGTAATATTTTCACGTGAGTTGCAATAACGATAGTACTTACAATAACGTCTCATCATCTCATAAAAACGTTAATTTTAACATAGTTGCTATTAAACTAAGAAATCAAATTTAGATAGTGGGGTTTAATTTTGAATTCTAGTTTCACGTTTATCATTTTATCTGGGCGGTAAAGGTCGAATTCTATGTCGATCAAATCGACCAAATTGATTGTCGCGTTGTTTTTTTACTATCGACAACAACTAACCTAGAATAAGTAATCAATTTAATAAATGCGTGTTGTACGAAACCTATTAAAATTATTATTATAGGCTATGTTAAAACTATAGCCTTAAACAAAGAAGTGGGTCTTGGGGAATTTAGGGGATTTCCTTTAACAAATGTCAGTTACGCTGTATTAAAAAAAATTCGTCTAACATTTTGTACTTGGTATAATTTTTTTGTGAGCTTGTCGTTCCCCAGATGTTTTGGCCTGTGTGGATTTATGTTTTCGGAATAAATAAAATATAACTGAACGACTGTGGTGATTGATATAGGACGATAGTGTCGCCACAAGCATTATTGACAAAGTATTAATAATACTTCAATGTTAAAACGTTTAAGGCGTCTTGGCAGAGATTCCAACGAGGCTTTCAATATTTGATATTGGGCGTTTTGTTATTGTATTTTGTTTAACAAATAAAAGTTATATTTTTAAAATTATTGGCATCGATTATAGAGAATAATCGTAGGCGGAAAATTATAAAATGCAGTTTTTTAAATATTGTTAAATATATACAAAAAAAAACTAACTAGAATCAGAATGGTTTTATTTCGTTGAAATAAAAAAAAACAACGAACTGTACGAAAAATTAACTACTATTTTTTCACAATGGTAGATGATTATCCTTGAATATTAACGGAGTATGTATGCATGTTTGTATACTTGTTGTATTTTTGGTGGGAGTCGTTTTCATAAAAAGTTATTATGGTTTACAACACTGAACACATTTTATCGTCGCTAAGTAATTGGCCTTGTGTGTGCTGGTAATGAAATCTCAACATTGTATGTTGATTTTTATCTACTCAGCATAACAAACAAATAAGTAATAATTTAATAATTAGTATTGTCCAAATTCGTTCAAAATATCGCCTTAAAAAGGTGGCCACAGAAAGGGGACAATTCCTTTTGGTGGACAGCTACTCTTCTCTGTCTTGTAATGCTGTCTTTATCTATACAATTGGTTTCATTTATCTCAAAATTTTTTTTAAATTTTACATTAAACCGTTCAAAAACTGGCAATATTAAATTGCATTTAAGTATATTGTAATTTTTTTATTTTTATAAAATGTTACCTTGAATGTTATTCAAAACCAGCCAACGTTTATAATTAATTATTTAAAATTTTAAAAGGTAATAAAATATATTCGCTACCATTTTAAACCGTTTCAAAAGTTTATATGACTAGAATTTATCAAAAAATATAACAAATTAAATACTGTTTATTATTGTAAACTAACATGTCTCTAAAAATTAAAACTACGAAATTCTAATATTTTTCAGAAAACATGAGTGTGTCACGTTAAATTGATCACCCTGTATAGTATTATTAAATTATAAAACGTATATAAATGTAATACATTTTTTAGCTATGCTTTTTTGTAAATTATTAGGTACTTTACAAAGTACTCTCAAAAGAATTATTGTTTTGAAAAGTTTAGTATCTACAGTTTCAAGACAAATACTAATTCAGTTATACACGTATGCAAGTTTTACCACCATAGATAACATCAGATCGTCAAGTGTAAATTATAGCGTACTGCACTTAATTTTTTTTTATAATAGATACATTCTTTTTTATTTTTTTAGTCTACGGAAACTCTCTCGAAAAAGACATAAAAGGCGACACTTCTGGTCATTTCAAACGCCTGTGCGTCTCTCTGTGCTTGGTGAGTACTAACCGTTGAGTTAAATTTCAATAGTATGAGTGTATTGTGTGTATTGTAGTTTTGTGTCAATGACGTACCTATTAAATTAAACTTGAACAGGGTAACCGCGAAGAAGATCCAGTAGTGGACGACGCTGCCGCCAAGGCAGACGCCGAGGCACTGTACAATGCTGGCGAGAAACTCAAATGGGGCACAGACGAGTCAGTTTTCCACAGGATTTTGGTGACCAAAAGTTATCAGCACCTGAGACGAGTGATCTTGGAGTATGAAAAGTTGACCAACAAAGACCTCGAGGATTCGATCAAGAGTGAATTTTCCGGTGACATCTGCATGGGTCTTCTGTCCTTAGGTGGGTGCAAGTTGCAACTATCAGTGACGAATATTATTGTGTAATATTAGATTGTACCAAAGCGAAATTTTTATCGTATTGTACAGTGTACAATATCAGTGTGAGAAAAATCCAATAATAGAATACGTGTCACGCCTACTTATGAGAGGGTATAAACATATTACATGTGGTTGCAGTTTCTGTAAACGACTAACCAGTATTTCGTTCATGTATTAATGACACTCCGCTCGTGACATGGTATAGTTGTTGCGGATAACTTTAAAATGGCCTAATAATAGATTTATGATTTTTTTTCATGATGTCATTGTTTCGACGTTCAACTTGAGCTCTATAAAAAAATTTGCTTTTAAAACTCGAGGACTAAAGTATTTCTTTGAAGTAGCGTTAATCGAATTTCCGATTTTGTATGTACAACGGAAAAAATGGTGTAACAAGAAATTATGAAGTATATTTTTACAAGCCATTAAATGTTATATATATATATATATATATAAAGTATTTATCATTATAAACTATAATATTGATTACTGTGTAGTGTGTAATAACAGTTAGCCAAAGAACTTGAATCTCTTTACAGAATTGAAATTGGACTAAATTATTTTGTCGAAATGTCGTCTGGCTTTTTGGTCTAAAAAAAACCAAAATGGCTTTTACTCATAGAAAAAATTATTTAAATTAAAAATAATACTTTGAAGCTTATACAAATTAACCGGTAAATTAATTGACATGGTCGAAATTTACTAAATCCTCTTTTTACTTAAATATTGCCTATACAAAACTCCTTAAAACAGACGGCATGCAATTTAATAATTTTTCTATTTATTTGTAGCCTTCATTGTGCCATATTACATAATAATTATTAAAATATGTATGAGGATTAATCTTAGACATAAAAATCACTTAAATTATAATTAGATAACCAAACCAGAGGTTTAAAAGTATTACAACTAATACAATATTTTCTAGGTTAGGTTAGGTTTGGTTATAATTGACTTTCCGTCCCTTCAAAATTAAGTTAAAATAATAGTCCATCCCTGTATGCTTCCTGCGGGTTTAGGCGGATTTTTTTATTTTAACTTTTAATTTCTATTCCAGCTTCTAAACATATATTTTATTAAAAATATATATGAATAGTTAAAAACCCTATTATTTTAGTTTTACAATCTGGTTTTGATATTTACATCTCATAAAATAAGGATTTATTCATATTAGAAAATAATATCAAAGTATAGTGCAAAAAAAAAATGTCGGTAGTGTTTTGTTTATGAGATTTTCTTTTTTTTAATTGTCTCATATTTTCTTGTATTATTCTTATGCAAGGTAGTTACTGTATGCTGAATGTCGCATATGTCTATGTAGTATTGCCATCACTGATCCGTCAGAACTCGGAAGTATTTCGAAAACCATTTGTAATATAATATATTATTTACATTTTTGCAGTTAAATGTATCCGGAGCAAAGTAGATTATTTTTCGGAACGTCTGCACAAAAGCATGGCCGGTCTGGGAACGGACGATAAGACTTTGATAAGGATTTTAGTTTCACGGTCAGAAATCGATCTTGGAGATATTAAACTGGCGTTTGAGAGGATGTACGGTAAATCTTTGGAATCCTGGGTTTCTGTAAGTCAATATCAATATACCATATTTTATTAATATTTTAAAAGATCAGCGTTTTGTAACTAACTAATTGCAGTAATTTTGTATTGCAGGGGGACACTTCTGGAGATTACAAAAAGTTACTGTTGAAAATCGTCGGACAGTAAATTTCCATTCTTGAACATTTCTTTTCTATAATTTATTATATTATTATTATTTTAAAATACTATTATTTACTGCTAATGCCAATTTTTCGTCCAATCAAACTATTACATTTAATCAATGTTCGTTATGTTTGAAATCCAAAATAAAAATTGATTTATTAATTAATTTTCATAATATTGTATATGCTTTCGTGTAATTTTATTTATAATATACTAAATCCACTTCTAAGCAAGTAACTTCCAATTATGAATAACTCGATGAAAATGGCCGATTGTCCACTACAGACCACATGTATTATTGTCTACATATGTCTTGATATTACACAGAACACTAACTTGAAGCTTATAAGTATTTATTTGTTTTGTATTAATAATCTTGTATTTTTATATTTTATTTTTTGATATTATATTTATATAACCTTATGCCTCTTAAATTATACATGTGTAGCTTTTTAAATTGTAACTAAAATGTAATACGATTTTTAAAATGTACTATAATTAAATAATATATTTTATTATGAATTTATTTTTTTCTTTAAAACGTGTATGTACGTTGATTAAGAGGACGCCACACCGGCCATTTCTAAGGAGCAAAGTATAGGCAATTTTTCGAAAAATCTTAATTTAGAGTTTGAACTATAATATGTATACTTATTAATACAGTATTGAGGATACTTTGTCGATTGCCATTTTTTTTGCCAGACTATCACAATCATTTCTATAGGATAAAATACAATTTTTTTGCCATCAAAACTGCTTTGCGCGGATTAATTTTACTCAGGTTTCATACATAGTAAAGGAAAGAAATGTATACATTTTTTATACATGACATAATTATTTGTGCTCCAGCATCCGTATTTTTTCGATATACCTAAAACAACCGACGCTATATCATTTTTAAAAAAGTCCTTTCTTAATTAATTAATTATTCATCAACTGCTTGAAATATTAAAAAAAGGGCTATGATAGAGCACAGACAATGTTGTTGTCTACATTATGTGAAAATTTAGTTTCTTAGTTTTGATCACAGCCTTTATAAAATTAATCCGCGCAAGGTGGGTTTTTTGAAGAAAATAACGGGTGTGTGACGTCCTCTTAATATTATACATATTTTTTATAATAATTGTGTTTAGGCGTTAAATTAGTTAAAAAGGAATAAAAATACTTGAAAACACCAAATTCTTAATTGTCGATGTATACAGGGTGGCCCAGGAAGATTTGACAAATTAAATAACTTTTGTTCTAGTGAATATTTTTAAGATTTTTTTTTTTTTTTTAATAATTTATGCTCATTTACGCTATAAGCACCACGGTTTTTAATGCACTCAACAATTTTACTTTTTAAAAAAGAAGTAAGCGCGTAGAGCTATTTTTATCTGCGCGCGTTTCTCTACCGCACTCCACCTTCCATCCTACACTTTAACCTTTAGTAACTTAAAAAATAATTGTCCAAATCAGGTTATCGAGCAGTTAAAATTTTCAGCAGATTATTCTTAACAAAATGGCTATCTTGAATTTTTTTAAAAAAATGTAACAAAGCATTTTTTAAAATAATTTAAAAAAGTAAAATAGTTAAGTGCAATAAAATACATAGTGCTTATAGCGTAAATGAGTATAAATTATTTTAAAAAAAAAATCTTAAAAATATTCACTAGAACAATAGTTATTTAATTTGTCAAATCTTCCTGGGCCACCTGTATACAGTTTATAGATAAAACATTGTTCACACATTTTTATTTAAAATAGCTCGTTTTTTTTGCCGAAATTACGCTTCTGTAAACGGCGTATTTATAGGCAACACATATATCTCGAATGAATAAATATTCCAAAACAAATAATAAATTTAATTCAGGCTCTTTGTGTGTGTTAATTAAGTGAACCAACGTTTAGGTATAGTATTAACTTTGATGTTTTTTTAAAACTAAAATGTTTTACCGACCATAAATGAGCTTTTTATCAATAAGTGTTTTTCCATCCAATTTAATTAAAACCTTCACAAAATCTGAAAATTATGGTATGATAATTTTCCAATATTATTTTGTGTTAGGCATTCATTATATTATTGAAGTTTTAATGTCAATTAGTAAATCGTTTTTAGTTACAGCTTCTATACCAGTGACCGTCAGGATAAGTTTTTATTTTATGTTTAGTTTATCAATTGTTTCTAAAAATATTTTTATTTTTATGGTGGCCACAATTTTAGAGGTCTCGACCTCGAATCTATATAAACATTATATCCTGTTCTATTCTACACACCAAATTTATGATTTAACATTTCTATAATAATGCGGCCGTAACTATTAATTAAATTAGAAAAAAAAAAATCCCTCGACCTTAAACTTGGTTAAGGAAAATAATTCGGCTTGCTCTGTGGACTGGTATCTTATTCTCGAATGACATTGGGTAAAAATACTATAGTTAATAATTAAATTACCCTCCTTTAATTGTTTCAACAATAAAATACCGCAAATATTTTGTAAAACATATTATTTTTTATTTTGTAGTTACATTGCGTCCAAACACAAAAGTAATTTTAGTTGAGCAACTTGTAAAATCTGTTCTATAGTGAATAGTCAGGAATTTATGACATGCTTAAAATGAGTTACGCTCCATAAAATTAAAATTAGCGCAATGGATAACAACGTAATATAAAAAAAAAAAAAAATTGTTTTGTTTGCATTTTATTTGTATTTATAGTATACTTACTTATAAATTTGTTCAATGATAGTTCTACCCATTTTTCCTACAAATAGGCATTAAATGTAATTTAACGTTATAACTCATTTTTATCTAAAAAAGTGGTTTTTAGAAATGGTTGTTTGTTTCGTGTATCTACTAAACTTTTTCTATTATTAACAAATTAATTATTATAAATAAGTTACTAATAGAATAGTTTTTGAATTTATTTAGGTATTAGTTCATTGCGATATAATTATATTTTGTTTGTAAAAGAATCCGTAACAAACAATAGAAAAGTATGCGTCATTTATTTAATAAATTTGAATAAGTGACAAAAAACATTAGAAAATCATTAAATAATAAAAAGTATTCAAAAAGCATGAATATTAAAATTTTTTACTTTGAATGGACGTACATTTTTGAGTATATTTTGCAGGGAATAATGTGACAGTTACTTTTCTTGTTAACATAATCATTTTATGAGTATAAATGTGAAAACGCGACTTTTTAAAATAGGACAAACATTCCATACAGTACATTATCATCCCGATATGGGTCTGTATATTTATAGTTTGCATCGCATAGATTTTTTTCTTAGAAAAAATATTTAATTAAATAATATCCAGTTCGTATGGGTATTCAATTTGGACATAACAACTCAATGTAACATAGTTTAAGACAATTTTATACTGGTAAAAAATTATATCATTAATTAAATGTGACATTTGTTCGTTTTTCTGTACAGCGTCGTAAATCCCACGCGAAAGTAGCTTCACGCACGGGTTCCAGTCAGGTTAAAAACGGCGACACCGCTCGTGTGATTTAATCTGTTTTTTTTCCGTACTCTAATACATTTTAATTGGGCGAATTTTGTGTATACATATATTTTACTAGTGTACTTAAAATAGAGAAAAGTGCGAAAGCAAATTAACGCGCCGTGGTGGTCTGCATGCATGGTCGCTTTCCGTCAAAAAGAAAAAAAAGTGCACAAATTATTATAATAGTACATTGTACTATTTTATATGCTATATAGGCCATAGTCATAGTGAAATTTCGAACAGGTGTCCAGATGTTTTTGTGTGTGTTCTATACGAGCATATAAAATAAAACATCATATCCAACATATGTTAGCACAATTAAACATGACTTTTTTCAACCCCATGACATTAGATTCATAATAAAATAAGTAGTTACACGGTCATCACTATATTCTGCTTCAGTCACAGTAATCCGTTCGAAATGTTGTTATGATTTTAATCTCACATCATAAAATTATAAAATGAGCAAAATAAATTAGAAAACAATTAATGCTATATTAACTAACCTGTTGAAAAGTTAAATGATCACATTTATGAAAATATGTGACTAATTTCGATAAAAGTGTCATCCAGGTAAAAATAATTGACCAACAAGTAACACGAGCTTCATAACTAGCTGTCAAAGCCATTCTATCGGATTTTATCATTGGGCGTGACAATGGTTTTTTGAATAATATAGTCTATTGATAAATACATCGGTTAATAGAACCCTACCCCTTTGTCGAGATACGGTCGAGTAAAATAACCTAAAAACTATACTATAATAAGCTTAGACGACTTCTTTCTTTCCGACATCTTGGAACATAATTAAACGGATTGATGACGAAGAAAAACCAAAGTACTCGTGTCTTGTGGTTTCAAAGATGGGTCTTTTCGTGTCTTTTGTTTTCGTACACAATGGGCTACTGAATACAAATACTACGAGTGACTGCCTATTTAAACAAATTAGTTACCAAGTACCAACTTATCTTACTTTAATAATTTCTTATTTAAAAGTAGTAGGTGTAATGAATTAAGACACCTCTCGTATGCATTATACTTGTATTTTGACACCTTATGGCTTATACAGTTGCTGTTAACCATCATAGAATTTATTATAATAAAGACAAGACTAAAATATAAGCCCATAACACGTGACGTCCATTCTAAAACGATTGTTCTTCTTCGGGTATACGTAGTTATTACAATATGAGTAAATACAAGTTACTCTAAAACCTTTACAAAATTTATATGTATTATGATGTATACAGGGTAATTCTAATTTCATTGCACAAACAACTTTTATTACAAACTCGACTTTTAAAAGTTACCTTTTAAAACTACCCATACAAATTTACATACCTACTTTATATATTAAATATAATTTTTGATAATTTTATTTCGACTTTTTTAGCTCAATATTATTTCATTGAAAAAAATTACTTTAACCTGAAATTTGGATAACCCCGTGTTTATATATATATATTTACTTTATAAGGTATAACTTATAAGTAAGCAAAGTAGTTAAATAGTTTAAACAAAAGACTATAAGTATTTACTATATATATATGTATATTGTATATATTTTCATCTAAAAATTAAAAGTAAATTTAGTTTTGGAAAACACTTAGTTGAAAGCAATAAGGACGTATGCGGTATGTGTTCTGGTATTACAGACAATTGATGAAAACAATAGAGTTCAGTCGTCAAAACGGAAATTAATTAATTGAATAATTATATGAAGTGACCTTTACTTCCTATAATTTGTGTGCCAATTCGAGCCAATAAACTATATGACAATTATAATTTGTGTTATTTTTGTGCATGTGTGTTAAAAACCCGACAAAACCCTATGGAAATTTCCATTCCGACTCAATGTCAGGCGCTCGTCACTTTTGTGGTATATAACCTAAAACCGAAGCTTTGACAGCCGTCATATGTGTGATTCGCTTTGATCGCGTCGCGTCATGTATGTGAAATTATCATCCGCCGTATGGCTTTTGGCCATTTTTATAGATCAAACCGTGAGTAATTCGCAGTAACCTATTAAATAAACTAATAATAAAACCAATAATTCAAATTTAAAAGTTCATAGATATTATTGTACCTATTAATTTTTTTTCTCCTTTATTTTACATATACGATCTATACAATTTAAGTACAATAAGTATTTATGATGACAGGTAAATTATAGACTTTGAAAGTATGAAAAGAGAAGCCGTCCACTGACGACACTCTTATTAACTTCGTTTTTAATTAATTGATAGTGAGAAGGTCTCTGCACCACTTCCTTTTAAGTCTACCTATTGATTTTATTTTTTAAAACCAAATTAATTTTTTTACCATTTAATAGTTGCCACGAAGATATTTGAACGTTATAACTCGTTATGAACTAAATATTTCTTATCGAAATTCTGCACAACGTATTATGTTTTATTTTTATTAATAATCGGTACTAGTTTAGCTACTTAGCTATAGATATGGTACTTCCCTTTCCAAATTAAATTTGGCATAATTGTACTACTTTATTGGAATAAATGTACATTATACATCTAAGAGACTGTATTAAAAAAAAAACACTTGAAAGCTTTTATGTTATTTTTTTCAGATATGCCAATCCAGCGGTGGTGGTTCGGGGTGGCGGGTGGTAGCGCTGGTGGTGGCGGTGGTAGCAGTGGCGGTGGAGGCTCAGGTGGAGGGCCTGGCGGTGGTTCAGGCGGATCGCATGGAGGTGGTTCCGGTGGCGGCGGATCGCAAGGAGGTGGTTCCGGTGGCGGCGGATCACAAGGAGCTGGTTTCGGCGGTGGCGGTGGTGGCATGAGCGGCATGGGTGGTATGAGCGGTATGGGCGGCATGGGAGGCATGGGCGGCATGGGCGGTATGAATGGAATGATGGGCGGCATGCCGGGAATGCTTCCGTTCCCGTTCTTCCCGCCGTTCGGATGTGAGATTGATTGCAACTTCCCAATACCTATGCCTATGCCTCCGCCTATGCAACCTCAACAACCGAGTAGACCACCACAAACTCCCCCACCAGGTAAAACAATTGAATTAATTATGTACAGAATCATGGGATTCTAAAATAGAAACTCTTTAATCATTATAATCGTTTACAAACAAATATATAAATACAATAAACAAATTTAATTTAAAAAAAATCAATTAATTCGTAACTAATTAGTTTAATTTTTTTATTTAAAAACTTATTGGTCAGACTTTAGGGTTACGCCATGGACTATTTTAATTTTTAGGGTTTCGTTATGAGGTTAACACTTTAAACCCAAAGTTAAAATAATACTATATGCACTTACGGGTGTGTAGGCTGTAGTATTAATTTAATAATGGTGGATTTCCTTACTCCGAAAATTGTTTTAAAAGTTTTAAACTAATTATTAGGTATTTGGATTAAATCGCTCTGGCTGTAGTGTTCTCACAAAAGTGGGAAGTAAAAACGAATTTTACCCGCAGTTAGTTTAATTTATAAATATTATGAGTCATCACTCCCATAAGAAATTAATATGATTTGAATAATAACATTATAATTGGAGTTCATTAACGTTTTAACTTGTTCAGCGGTTTCGATTGAGGAGCTCGCATTTGTTAGAAACGTTACGACTTTTATTTAATTAATCATTTCCGTCCATGTCGATAACTTCAATAAATTGACATACGACGTTTGGAACTACTTTTTCTTCCCACTAGCTTCTTGTTTCGCGTGACCCAACTACTTTTGTCCAGTAGGCTCTGTGACACCATGACCTAGTCCAATCGATAACCTAGTAGAGGTTCAGTAAACATGTGAACGGTATTCAGGCATTATAATAGAGGAGATAGGAAAGACTATACTGTGGCGGTTTTGATGTGTTACAAGGAGAGATGAGAAGGAGGCTGTAAGAGCGGTACTGGAAATAAACATTGGAGGAAAGCCTAGAAAATATGGAAGATATCCAGTGTGCTTGGTGAAGACGCGACAGGTCACGTTGAGTAGTGTCTATGGACTATGATGGTCGTTTATAAAGGTTTGTTGTGGTACTGACATGACACCAGTAAACTGAGATACCAATAGATTATTTTTGGACCAGTGTCATTGATATTATTAATTCAAGACAGCTGAACGTCAAATTATAAAAACAATTAATGGATTACCTTCAATGCTAAACGATACACAGTTGTTTTTTTTATCAAAATATAAGTAAACAACCGACAGCGTTAATTAGTTATAAAATAGTAGATTATAAACTAGGGGTTCGTTTTCTAAATTTAGTAAATTTAAGTGACTCTATGCTTTTAGCGACTCAACCGCCGCCGACAACTCCGAAAATGCCCAGCATGCCGCCTCAACCACAAATTCAACAGCCCATTTACAACACTCAGGTGTACTACATTTATCCTAACTGGTGAGTTTTAATAAGTAGTTGTATTATTTTTAACTTCTGTACATAAAAATACAATATCCATATTTGTGTTTAAAGGTGCACCGGATGGTGTCGAATGCTGTACAAGCCGCAACCAATGTACTACCAACCGAACTGTATACTGTTTTCTTGGTTGGGTATATGATTATTTATTTTATCGTTTATTTATTCGTTTGAATACTAATTTATTTTAACTTATTCGCGCACAAATGTACCTATTTGGTGTAATAAAAAACAAAAACCCAAAGATTTTTAAATAATTTTGTTTTATTGTTATTTTTAATAAAATCAATTTGTTTAAAATCATTCTTACATATTACTATTCACGAGAACAATCGAATGATATGAATCCTTAAATCGTAAGAGCAATTCGTGATCTATATACAAAATAAATTTATGTTTTGTATATATATATCTCAAATAAATATTATTTTCACTAGGTAATTATATAATCGATTAATGCTAACGAGATATTGATTATAATAATTTGTTTTTATTATATTTAAATATTATAATATGCTTTTTCTTATACAATATACAAAAAGCAGACGGTGAGATGTCACGTGGAAAAATTGCTTAACTAAACAGACAAAAATTACTTTAACAATATTGACCATATTATAATAATAATATAATCATAATAATAATAATAATATCATGCATAATTTATAGTCAACACCAGAAATTTACTTAATAAAGAAAAGTGTTAATAATCATAATAATAATAGATCGATTAAAAAAAATTGTATACGAGTTTCGAACAAAACATAATATCGACGACAGTAAAAAAAAAACAAATAACAATAACGCTTATGACCGTTTTTTTGATTTGATTCAGTGGGGGGGGGAAATAATAATCAACTGGCTAAGATTGTACAACAATAATATGCAAACTAAACTTAATAGAATATTAAAAAAAATCTATATTTACACAAAACAATTTATTTTATAATTTATTTATTTTTACATTTGTTATATCATATTTTTGGTGCAAAGAGTTAGGCTTATCATTGTTATTATTATTATTGATTAACATGAATTGTAGTACATTTATTTGTCGGGTTCCATGGTTGTCAATGCGTAGTAATGTTTAATGTTTCGAATAATAATAATTAGGTTTGCTCTTCCAAGTGCCAAATGTGTTTATAGTAGTTACTATAAAAAAAAACCCGCCGAAATCACAGACCGACACGCAGTGACAACCTTCGGTAAACCTTTTCCCTCTTAACATTTCTATGCTACTTTAATAACTGTATCACTACTACATACTAATTATGTATAATTATTTATTACATTATATAAGTATATACATTTACATTATATTTTATACCGAACAAATAAATATTTATATATTTAAAAAATATATTATAGATTATAGGTACTTATTTACACAAAATAATGATAATGATTAAAATAAAGATGAAGGAAACCCGAAAGCCGGAACGGACCAATAGCAAATTTTTATATTTTTTCCCGATTTTTTTTTTTTTACTTCTTATTATAAATACATTGATAAAAACGTAGTCTCTTAATAATATTATATACACACATATACGCCTAGTAGTTAAAAAGAAAATTAGTGAAAAACCGGGTCGGTCCGTGTTTTCGGTCCCTTCGAATAAAACTATAAGTCTTATTTTAACAGGTCTCGAATCGTTAAACAAAAAAATTGTTTGGACATTTATCTCGTTTACAGTGTTTGTTCTTCAAGACGATTTAACAAGAGAAAACCCCTTTTCAAGACTAGAGACCGCGATAGACTAGAAAAAAAAAATTTGCAACGTAGTACTAATTATATTAACGTTGGAAAAATAACTGTCGGTTGCGCATTTGGATATTAAAGATTTTTTCAACAGTCTTCTGGATTTGAAATGAAGTTTTTTTTTAGTTAAAAACATGTCCGCACTAACGACAAATAATATACAACAACTTAATAATAATAATAATAAGAAGAAAGTATACATAATTATGTATATATATATGTAGATCACAAAAGAAAATAGGACCACTCGCGTGTGAAACAAATCAAACGATTATATTTTTGGGATGCGTATTAAAATCTAAAAAAAAAATTGCACAATTCTTTATATTATAATATTTAATAATTATAAATATTTATATATATAATACGAATAACTATTTACAAAATGATGTGTACAAAACGTCAAATAATATATAAAATAATAATTATAATAATAATAATAAAAACGAATTAACTACGCGTTACTCACGTCGGGGTAGATTGTGGTAACATAATAATACAAATCGATGCGTTTACAACAACACTGTGTTGTTATATCGTTTGGGCTAATCTCTAAAATTCGTTGTTCCAAGTTTTCTCTTCCTTGACCACGCTAATCGGCTCCTGGTCATGTTCGGCGTCCGACTCGTGCTTGACAGAGTCGGTATCGGAAGGGCTGGACCTGCCGGATTTATCTGGATCGTTGACGTCCGTAGGCTCTACCCGGACCGTCTCGGACCTTCTCCTTTCGTTGCACCCGTCGGCCGCTTGCATCACGCAAACACCGTTGATGATGACCTCGGACTGCGACTGCAAGGGCTGCTGTTGTGGCTTGTGTTCGGACTGCAGCCAATCCGGGTTGACCCACTGGGGCGCGGCTGGCTTGCGGCGCGAACTTCCCACGACGGGTACGGCAGGCGCTTCCTCCCGGGCTTCCGACTCGTCGGATCGGCTGGCGTCGTCGTCGTCGTCGTCGAAGTCGGTGTCCATTTCGTGCTTGACGCTCAGGTCCAGGCCGGACATCTGTTCGTCGACGGTGGCGGCCGACGAGGACGAGGAGGTCAACATGGGCATGAACGACGACAGGTCACCGCCGGCAGCGGCAGCAGCGGCGTGCTGCAAGTACGGGTTACCGGCGTTGAAGGGAATGGGTAAGCCGCCAAAGCCTAGCCGGTGACTGAGGAGTATTCTGAACTGGATGGGATCGAATCCGGGCCCGGTCTGCGATTGCTGCTGTTGCTGTTGGGAGTCCGAGTGCGGCGATTGCTGCTTGATCCTCATCCTGTGGTTGTGGAACCAGTTGGTGATGGTCCTGGTGGCCAGGTTGAGTTCGGACGCTAGGAACTCGATGGTGCCCACGCTCGGGTATTGGTCCAGCGCGAACGCCAATTTCAAAGCTTCTTTTTGTTCATCCGAAAATAAAACCTGAGAATAAACGAGAAAAAATTGTTACCAACGAAATATCATGGAGTCCGTTAGACGAATATTAACAACAAAAACATAATATCAGATTTAAACGCGTAATTCACAATATTATCGACACTCACTCGTTGCTTTTTGGCGGCGGACGGAGGACTGCTGGTTCCGCTGTGATAGAAATCGGAAGTGTCGTTCGAAGACGTGTCGCTACCGTTGTCTTGTTGGCCAGAACCTCTTCGCCTCTTGTTCATTTCCCTCCGTTCGCTCTTGATAGCCTGTAATCGTTCAACGTTGTGTTGATCCGAAAGCCACAGTTGCATACGGATGAACGGTTCGCGACCTTTAATGCTCAACATGTGCCACGGTTTGGGCTTGGACAACAGTTCGCTGACCGATCCTTGAGAAAGTCCTAAAACAGCTTCTCCGAAAATCTAAAAAAAAAAGACGGCTCGATTAAGAAACTTTTCATTTTTTTTTTAAAGAATTGCATTTCAGGCTTTGTTGTTAAACAACCGAGTGTACTTACTTTTTGGCCGATATTGTTAGCAAGCAACGCTTCCTTGATTTTGGTGGTGATCGTCTGGGTGTCGAGGTCTTGGGTTAAAGCGGCCATTTCATACACGGACGGAACCACCGGCGGTGGGTGTCGCGATCCCGGGTTTTGGAATGCCGCAGCTACGTGCTGTAGCATTAAGTTTGGCGGGATTCCGTTGTTTGGCATCGCAGCGGATTTTAGTTTGTTTTCTCCGGCCATCATGGACACTAGCTGACCTGCGGGGGTGATCATCGAAGACGCCGTGGAGGCGGACACGTGCGAATGGCCTCCTGGGGACTGGAGCTGGAGATGATGGTTGACGGGCGACTGTAGCGAAGATGCGATGTCCGAGTCCTCAGACATGGTAGTGGACGTGTTACATATGGAGTTGATGATGTGGTGGTGCGGGGTTTGCCGGTCTGCGTCCGCACTGACTTTTAAGAGATCTAGAGGTGAAGGGGCCATTTTGCCACCGAAAGGATGCGATGATTTCGCCAAGTTTGGATTCATTGCTGTAAAAGATAATCGATTATTAGTAAAAATTGAATCACAGGAGTAAAGTAACGCGTTGAAAACTTACGACTTGCTCCGCCATATCCGCCGGTTCGCATTAACTTTTCTGGAGCGATTTTATATTGGGAGGCGACGAGCTTATGCACGGCCTTGTCGTCTTCCAAGAACATTTTCATGCGAATAAACGGCTCGCGTCCTTTTTGGGTCAACATGTGCCAAGGTTTTGGCCTGGCCAAGAGATCGGACACACTTCCTTGAGAAAGACCCAACACGGATTCGCCAAATAATCTCTGGCTGATCGAAAATTGACTTAGTTGTTCTTTGACTTTGCGCACGATTTCTTCTGTGTTCAAGTTGTTGAACTGATCGAACTGCTGTTGGGTAATAGGAGGTAACACGGCCTTTAGGGGTCTCTGCGAAGGCGAGTGGTGGTGTGGAGTAGCCGGCTGTGATATCAGCGCGTTGGTGATCGAAGCCATACGTTGCAGTGGGCTAGCAGCAGCAGACTGACCGAAGTCTTCTGGAGGTAAAATTGAATTTCCCAACGGGGAACTGGCTGAGCTTCCGACGGACGATGCGCCACCTAATTTGAACAAAAATCGATTCTTAGTATATATTTCTCAAAACCCGTCAAATAGGTATGGTAAATAAAAAATCACTAATCATAATATTGTACTTACTTGGCTCGGTTTTTGGTTTGACAAGTGAAAAAGCACTTCCGGCGTGTTTCATGGCTTCTGCTACGGTTTCTGCTTCTTTATCAGAAACTTCAGTTCCGTTTACTTTGATGCCAAAGTCTTTTCGTTGGGCCAACGCGAACATGTCTTTCCTGTCTTTAGGCAACGACAAGTCTTGAGCCATACCATTACCTTGTATTGTGTTGTTATTATTATTATTAGCCATTGCTGCCACTGCGGCCTGTTGTTGGAGGGCCAATAATCCGGACAATTGGCTTTGCGGACAATTTTGCAGTTTAGAAAGTTCACGGTGGTAGGCGTCCAACGCGGTCCGTATGTCTTCTTGATTGCCAGAGTGATTTCCGAAGAAATGTGGGAAAAGCCATCCGGCAAAAGGTTGCTCGCCGCTCCTCATGGAGTCTTCCAACCGTTTGCCCATGATTTTCGACAGCTCTTCTTGGTACAGTCTGGCGACTTGTTCTTGAGGTAAGTCGTTTTGCCTTGACGGCGAGGTACTCTGCGCACAAAATATAGAATTTATTATTGATATCTGATCGATAGGGTTTTATAATAATAACATAACTATATAAACGGCATCTTACATTTTTTTCATTATGTGAGGTGCTGCCGTCATTACTCTGAGTATCGTCTTGTTGTTGATTAGGCTTCATCATTTGACTGGCCTCGTTCAGTATGTGCACAATCCGTTCGTCGGTCACATCGTTTTCAGTTCTGCCCATGACCGTCGGTATGCCAGAGTCTTTACCTACAATCAATAAGCACACAGAGTTCTTTTTTTTTTTAAACATCCCTAACTACATTAACCCTATGTATTAAGGTAAACCTACTACCCATTGTCCCCCTTTCACTATATTTCACATCTAATTAGCCACAGTGACGGTAACGGATTAAGTATGCACATGAGTATGGGCGTTGTGACAAAGATTTATTCCTTTTTCACATTAATATTTTCCAAGGGGCTAGCGGTGACCCCGTTGGCCACAATTGTTTGGAGGGGTTCGAGCGGGTTTGGCGGTTTTAATTAGCACTCCGAGATTACATTGTCTACGGCGTAAAACAAGAACTTAATTGATTTCGGACTTTTGACCCCCTACTTGTGTTTGCCTACTTGAATGGTCTTGATTAATGGAATTTCTCGAGGGTAAATTAACTGTAATCGCTTCGCGACACCATACCTTTTTTCGGTATCAACGACTTGAGCAGCATGACCGCGTTCTCGTCGCAAGCCCATGCGTGCATTTTCCTATAGCTGTCGCGACCTTTCTCGGTCAGTTTGTCCCAGGGTTTCGGTTTTGACAGCAGCTCGCTAACAGTCCCTTGGGACAGGCCGAGAATATACTTGGCAAACAGCCTCTGACCGACGTTGTGGATGGACAGTAGTTCACGCACTCGGCGGGCAATGTGCAGCGTGTCTAGGTTTTGTGTGGAGTATTTGTCCATGTTGTATCTGATTAAAAAAAAAACAAACGCACGTTGTACGATTAGTATACGTTTAAGATTGATAACATTCCAAGACGACAAAAGCAAAAACGATGTATGCTTAGTATACACGTAGTCGCGCGTCGAGATCTATTCTTAGGTTTGAATAAAATAATTAATTACCTGAGCATTTCTTGGAGCCTGGCTTCCATGGGATCGCCTTTGGGTATGAGCGATTCGCCGAACCTGCCGACCATGGTGCAATCGCCGTCGGCGAAACGGTACGGAGATCTGTGGTCGAACGGTGACTTGATCAAATCGAAGCCCAAAGCGCCGGCCGGTCCTAGGATATTGTTGTTGAGGCCGACATTGAGACCGCAAAGGCCGTTGATGAGTCCGGCCGGTATGTTTTTGTTGTTGTTCAACTGAGAAGGGTTGTTATTGTTGTTATGCGGTGAACCACTGTTGAGTCTGGGAGAACTGTTGGATTCGCTGGTAGGCGATTTGCAAGACGACCTGCTGACTGATCGCACTTGATGTGCGTTATTGAACGATGGCGAGATTGGCGCAGGAGAGGTGCTAGGCGCCGGTGACTTTGCCGAGTCCAAGCACGGAGACGTTTCTTTGGCTAGAAAAACAAAAACGAGGAGCAAATTGAAAACGGGCTGGTCCATCGGGCGACGCGTTAGTCAAAAGCAAAGTAGGTATAATAATGTTATTGTTATTATTATTCCCGATGCCGCCTCCCCCTCTCGCGAAACACACTCGTCTATGTACTCGTCCTTACCGGAGCAGTTTTCTTGACGGTTCGGAGAAGTATAGACTTTCTTATGGTCAGAATGATTGCGTTCGAGAGTCCTTCGCCAGTTGGCCACGATCTCTTCGCCGAGTATCGGGCCGAACTGTTCGACGTTTTGGAGCCCGGGAGGGGGTGGGGCCACCGGAACCGAAAAATCATCTGCAAGACAGACAGATCCGCCGGTTATAAGACAAAGACGTCATACCGGCAGTGCGAACGACTAGCGGGGTTAGACGTGTATGCGACGATAAGATATCGCACAATAAGAAAGAAAGTTTAAACTACTCACTGTGTGTGTCGACCGCTGGACTGCAAGACGACCTTTGAAGCTGAGGCGACGTACCTTTCGTCGTGGTCTCGGATTTATCGTTGTTGGGCGACTTGACGTTGTTACGGTCGTCTGGACATTCGACGGCCTTAAGTACACTAAAACAGGCGACCGCGTTTATGTTAATAAAATACATCATAATGTGATTAAAATAAAAACATATCCACATAGAATTACGTATAGGCATATTTTATACATTAATAATAGTTTGATCTTTAGTTATTTTTTTCTTCTTCAAAAATCATCTAGCAAACGAATATTTCATTAGCGTTATGATTCATTTTTCACTATACGTATGCTGCCCCCCGCTGACGATTGAATACAAACATGATATTATAATATGAGGCGATCCTGCGTATCGATAACCATCTTCTGGTTTTATATAATTAATATCGATGACAATATTTTTTTTATTTACTTAATTTATTTTATCTTCGGGTCGGGATTTGTTTTTTTAAATAAACTAGTTTGAATCCACACGATCGTAAAATAATATATCGGCCTCGACCGCACCGGTCCGGTTCGGGTATTATGATTTTATATTATAAAAGAAGAATAATCAACAAATAAATAATATTGAGCGACGACGCGCGTTTAATTTTATTCTTTACGTTACCGTCGAACACATTAAAATCACCAGTACAAAACATAAATATGTATTATAAAAAGAAACTATTTTCGCCCACGTTTAGAATAATATTTAGCGTTTAGTACGTGTGTAACGTTTCGCGAGAATTAGAGGAAAACGTATTACATGTGTATAATAATAATGATATTATTTTTGTTGGCTTGCGCGCAAAGGTTGCAACGATATGGTTTTTTGGGACTTTTTTTTATTTATAGACATACGCGGTGGCGGTGACTGAGGCGGCGATGGCGGTTTTGCATTGGAATTCGGTAAAATCGAATGGGCTTGATGATGATGATGATGATGATGATAATGATGTTAAAGGCGACATATATAATAAATTATATAAAATTGCTTGGGCGCAAGAATAAATATACGAAGACTTATAAGACGCGATTGTGAAAAAGAATATATTATATTAAATTCTTGGACCACAAAAATGGTGTTTGTGTGTAATTTGGCGGGCGCGCCAAAAATCAAACAATTAGCGAGGGAATTGATCGGATGCCAAGGCTGGCAATGTATACACCTAAGTAACGTTGCAATGTGTTCTCAACACTCACCACAACTGTCGTTTGACTTCTTCATAATCCCTCTGGGCGTCGAGTCGGGCTTCCAGTCTCATGATATGCTGCCTTTTGTCGTGCAGTTCCTCTTCGAGTCTGGCGATTTCTTTGGCAGTGTTTTCCTGCAGTTTGCCGATGCTCGACTGCAGTCTGCGTACGTCTTCGACTAGTTGCGAAATCTAAGGGCAAACAAAAATAAACGATGTTAAATATTTGTTCGACGGAAATCGATAATCTACATCAAACATGGCCGCCAGCCACCCCGCACGCTGCATAATATCATAATATTATTGTACACTCAAACAGCTATATAAGGGGTGCAGTCGGAGTTATACATGTGCATTGTTTATGCGATTTGCATCAAAACCCCGTTAGGGACGTCTTGGGCGTTAATTACTATGAAACCGTCGACGACCGCACGTGGACACGGAACAGAAAACGTTATTTTGTTTTGCCACAAAACAAAACAGTGATATTATCATTTTTTTGTTTTTTAATTTTTAATTATCATAAAACGTTGGCCGCCCCCGACGATGTCAAAACATTAATTACGTTATTATTGTTATTAGGAATATTATTTATATGTGTATTTTTTTGTTTAGCGCGTTCGTTTGTTTTAACATCAACGGCCCGTAACGAGGCTAACATACACAGACTAAAATATTATAAAGGGAGATGTACACACCGAGTACTTTCTGAAAAGTCCTCTCACTTTACCCCGTGCGACTGCCGCCACACCAACGCGTGTCCCTTATTGAGAGACGGTAATATATTATGGAAAAAAATCTCCAGCGACATCCAACCGCTCGTGTCCGACATGTTCTCTCTTCGACAACAATAATTATAACAATATATAATCGTTAACACTGCGCGTCCGTGTATATTATAGCCATCAGCATTGATTACACTTTTCCCCGGCCTTTTATTATACTTTATGGAGCTTAAAAAAAATATATACATATATATTATATAATAGGTAACGCGAGTACATGACAACTCCATAAGAGCGCTAGCAGTGAGACAAACGGTTTTTTTTCTGTCCATTAAACTTATTGAAAACCCATTCGACGTCAAACAAGCGTGTGTTATACCGGTCCGCCATTTCTTACACGACAAGTACCAGCGTAGAAGGAGAAGGTATATAACGTGTAAAAATTATCAATTATTATTATTTATTATTATAATATATACCTACTCGGTGTATAGTCTCGAATGTTGCGCGTAGGTACGCGACAGGTGTAATAAAGATTTGACGGGACAATAAAGATAAATGAAAAAAAAACTGAGTGTTTGCGATCCGCGATTATATAATAAAAAATATATAATAAGCACATTAATATCATCATCGCGCAGTAAACAGTTTAATAACGTCGGCAAACAATCGAACAATATATTATAATACACATTAGCGACTATTATAATAATTATTATCGTGAGTGACAACAACCGCTTCGTCGTCTTCCTCGTACTCTTGTTACGAGTAGAATTATTGCCGAAATACAAATATGACGTTCATACCTCTACCTACCTAGATTGAGCTAAAGAACCTTCTACAAACATATATCATAACCTAAAATTGTACACGCGGATCTCATTTGAATAAACGTATACATACATACATACAGTATGGCGCACGCAAATGGCTAACGCGCGGGTGGAGAAGTTGACGGGGAGCGCACAGACAGAGAGAGAGAGAGAGAGGGGGGAGGAGCTGGAGAAGGACGTGTAGTGTACACGGTACGTATACATAATATAAGAAATGCATAATAACAATATGATTATTATGGCGAAGAAAAAATATCGTTTCAAAGCGAAACAGAAGTCGTTGTTCGGGTCAGCCCGTAATTTGTTCCAATTGACTAACCGCAATAAATCTTCTCGGGATGTCAAAAAATCATCGGTTTCCTGTTTCCTGTGCTTTTTACCGTGTAAAACGCAAACGTCTGCGCAACCGCCCGTTAATATCGTACACAACGTCGATATGGAAAACAAAACAAAAATACTTACAATAATACCAATAGCAAAAAAAAAAAACGGTCCGCGGCACAAGGTCACTTTTGATTGTACAGGGTGACCCCAGCGATCCGTCATTAGAGAGTCGACTTACAATGTGATCGGCGCAAGCAGTCAACGGAGCACTCTGTGTAAAACACGGCGACCGTGTTTCGAATAATGCGGTAGTTTTATTAATAATATAACTTTTTGGTCTAGTCTCCGGGTCGGTTGCAATATTACAATATGGCAACCGACCACCGCAACCAAAATTCTCCGTCGCTCTTATATTAATAATAATATTATTTGTTATTGTACTGCCCGCACGGCCATATCGGCGACGGTCCACCGCCGGCTCCGTCGTTGCCGAAGGGGTGAACCCGTGAATCCATCCCCTCGCGTGTGAGTGTTTGCGTTGACCATCGGCGCCCTTCGAAAGAAAACGATTATTTTGCATATCGATTCCGGCGAACACAATTAATTTTGAGCGCACCCTTAACAGCACACACACACACCCCCGAAACGCGTACAATAAAGGCTCAAGGCAGCAAACGCGCACTACGTATATGTGGTAACGAGCATCTCTAATTATTTGAAAAAAAGTACCCGTCGCCGTTAGTCTCGCAATACCGGAACCGGTTATGTTTGTACGCAGATCCAATACCGGTTACCCGCATTAATCGATCCCTTCGTGAAGTAACAAAATTGTATCAATATAAATATAATAATAATAAAAAAGTATAACGGTCAAACCGGGCGGCAAACTAATCGGATTTTCATAGGCGCGTGCATTCGTTATAAAATAATTCAAACATTTTCTATACTTCGTTCGAATATATAAATTGTTAACGACATTGTCTTCTTGCACATCATGATGTGTCGTTTGTTCGAGACCAACCTACCGTGTCTCGACGTAGAATATGCACGTCCTTAGTGGGCGCTTGTGTATCTCTATAAAGATAGGTAAAATAATAATAATAATAATAATTTATTATATATTATTATTATGCGCGTTTCATAGACATCTGCGCCGTCGCTGTCAAAGAACAAGACGCCTGTGTTTGTGTGTATAATTAGTTCCTATTAAGAATCACGATTTTTCGGCGTGCAGTAAATTGGTTATACGTTATAGAAACATTGTTATTAATTTTCTACAGCGCGTTACAAGTAGTGTGTGTATGTATACAATATAATAGCATATGGCAAAAAACCCTGAAAAAACTATCGTGGGACCCTTCGGGTTTTTGTATACATGTATAATAATCTTCATTAGTGTATCGAACACGCCGGCAACTGCAACACCGGATGGACCGGATCCTTTTTCTCAGGGTCTATCATCATCCCTCAAAAGTAGTGCGCCCCCGCACCGAACACGGCTCGCATCATTCCTCCTGCATCCCCCGCATCCTTTATAATACTTTTTACATACACACATACACACGTGGTTCGGTAATTATACATGCGGCAAGTCCCATATAATATGCATTATGCATATTATTAATATAATATATGCACACAAGTAACAAACCGCCGTTCGGGGGAGGCGTATTGTACCTATACGTGCATATTTCAATATAAAGAATAAGTAATAGTATTCACCGCGTTTGCTTGTGTGAAACAGATTGTTATTTACGTTTAAATTTTAACGGTCGATTTGTACGGCACTAAAAAATATTGTATGATTATTCTTTTAGATTCATTTATACTATAATGTAGTATTACACTCGATTTTCAAATACTGTACTAGATAATATGTGATATTGTGTGCATTTTGTTTGGGATTTCGCCAGTACATATTCAATATAAGCGTGACGAATCGAGTTTAAAGGTAGTCTATCGTGTTTTTTTTTATCTGTACATACGTTAGCCAAACAAAAGGGCCGAGAAAAAGACAAGGTAATACAAAAAATGTGTAATTACATAATTTTATAAATAGAAGATGCTATTAAAATAAAATCGTAGACGTTTGAAGTCACCGCCACCGACGAGCGGTGCAATTTTTTTTAGAAATTTTCTCAACCGTCGAAAAGACCAAAGTGATGAGTTACAATAAAAAAAAGGCCGCAGACAACAATTATAATATTTTTAAGTTTGCAATTTTTTTGCTCGGCATTTCCACAAACTCGTCGTTATCACGCCGACAGCCACAATATGGTTTTTGTTACTATTTTTTTGGTTTTGTAAATTGTCCATATACAATATGTGTGATCGTATGTGGGGTTTGTGCGCCAACAGATCGCCTGTCGTCTATGGGCGGCACAGTAAGAGAGCTAGAGCACATCACCATCGTCATCGTCATTATAATATAATATCGTCGTCATCGTCATACATTGTACATTATTCATGGGCAAAACAAAAGGCCATATACAAATGCGGGAGGGAAGTTATTGATTATCGACAAGTACCGATGAAGGGATTCGGAAATTGACTGGCGAACATGTATACGTCTGGCTCGAGTGGCGGCGGAGGCATTAAGATAACGGTCGCAGGGCCTGCAGGGCGAGTGATTAAGCTTCTCTTCCGTTCATCCCGCCCTCAATGTTTCCGATCACCTACACCCGCCGTCCTCCGGGCAAGGCATATAAAACGTCCGCGGCGACGGCGGAAGGGAAGCGCCCTGACAATTAGACAGATACGGCAAGTTTAAACCCTTTTCTCCCCTATCCTTTGCCGCGCGCCCTCTCATACACACACACACACACGCACATTTCGAATATTTCTTCTACCCATCATCCCTAACAGGCCCGATCAATTCGCTCTCATGCAAAATATACGAAGTAGTTTTAGATATCCCTTCTTCTCCGTTCTATCGCCAACACACTCAGCCACCACCACCCTTAACTCCGTCTACCGCCACCGTCTATCGGCGGCGTATACTTGCCCTCGCCGCTTTCCTCCACAACACCGTTCATCACTGCGGCATGCCCGCACACCACTGTCAATCCTTTTGCATCGTGAGTATGAGTGAGTGTGTGTGTGTGTGTGTGTATAACAAAAGTACATTCGTGACGAAACACGAGCACATAGGAAGCACGTTCGATTTTATTGTGTAAAACGTCTTCCGGTTGCGAAACGAGGGCGGTAAAGAGTAAGAGCTCGGCAAAAAAGGCGTTTACAATATTTGTCAATAGCTCTGGTAAATAATTATTGTTGTGTCGTACACGCGGAAATCAGAACATATAATTGC